AAAATTTACGACATTTTCACGCTAATTTCTTCGTTCATATGTTTTCGAGCTGTTTGGCCATCCTTAGTATTTGTGTATTTGTTCTCAAAAAGAGACGACAGCCGCACAGCTTCAAAACCATAGCAGCTTTAGAAATGGATACGAAAGCCTTTTACAGTCGATAATATGTTTAATACTTATTTTATTTCATTTTATTAAAATCGAGCCTAATTCAAATTGCTACAAAAAATAATTAAATAAGACTTAGTCTAATTCTAGAAAATAAATGACTGGGGAAGCACTTGAACCGGCATCGTCAGTGTTCCGTGCTGTTGCTCTGACGATGAAAATAAATAAGATGAGGTATCAAAAAATTATACAAAAGGATATCGATCAAATTTTACTTTTATAACTAGTACTAAAAGTTTGCTCGTTTCATATCAGCGGTAATACTGTAATTACTACGCTTTGCATACGTTGAAATCCCGCATTTACTGATGCATAGCGAATTCAGGAATACCCCGAATGATACTTAATATCTCGAAAATTAAACAGGAGATTATGTTTTGCTGGCTTTGCTAATCCTGGGATTCACAGCGCTAAAACGACTTATTACATGTTCAAATTGTTATTACTGCTTACTTTGCAGCTTATAAGGGATTCAACTTGCGATTTGCAAGCGTAAAGATGGAAAGTAAATATCTCTAGCGGGCTTAATATTTACACTAAAAGGGAAGCACAGTACCTACTTCTAATAAAAATATACCGACCTTGGCTACCAAAAGTATACAAACTTATATAATAATAATATATATTATTTTATAAACATCATAAGAAAAGTTATTGCTCACAATCCCTCAACATGTCTTAAGAAATTAACGATAGCGAGAATATATTCAATGAAACATTAGATACCGTTTTAAAAATGCTTTAAACATTTTTCGTTTGTCCACAGATGGATCAACAAATATCACGTCGAGCGAAACGCAGGTGCTGCAGGTGAATAAGCCCCAGGATGGCTTGGTGGGCGCACGCTGTGCTGGCCGCCATCGTGCTGTCAGCAGCGCGCGCCTACCTCATCCTAGTACCAGACAATGCACCGCCAGGATACACTGTACTCGACGCCGCGGTCTACAAACTCGGCTCTGAACGCACGTACTCCATTGATGTCCACCGCACAGCCAACTTCGTCCACCACATCTTAAGAGTCAACAGAACTACCGGTCTGGTCACTCTCCGCAAACGACTTAGATGCGATGGTGTCCTCTACCCCAACCTCTTCACGTTTTACGTGGACTCCACCTCAGACCGAATCAGAGATATAGACTATTATAGCTTACCAATAAGAATTTTGGTAATAGGCGAAGACTGCAGTAGACGCCACGCTGATCTATACGAAATTGACTTCGATCGTGTCTACGACCAAAGTGACTCTGCCATGCAGTATGATGACGATCACATTAGAGATAAGAGGGAAATTCATCAAGCTTATCGAGAGAGTATAGACTGGCGGTTATTAGAAGAAGATGAATTGGGATCTAGTCAATATAGTGTTTTGTCCACGGCGTATCCGTGGTCGAGTTCGATGTTCGAGGATTATGTAGCTAGAAATAGGAGTAGGCAGAAACGATCTCTATTAGTACCTTTCGATATGGCCGTAGATATTAAGATTGCTGAGGCTAAGCAGTGGATATCGGAGACGTATGCGAGCTTCTCGATACCGACCACTGATAGATGGCAGGGCATATGCCTGAAAAAGTCCCAGTTCGTGAACTCTTTGACGGCGTTCTTGCCGCGGACGGTTCAAAAGATGTGTAAGGTGCAGTTTCTGGATGTGAGTGACCCGAGATTCGTGATAGAGAGCAGTCAGGGTGATCTGGTTGCCAGTGAAGACGTGTGCATTCTGGAGCCAATGTGGAAAGTGTCGGTTCTCTTCACATTTAACTGTGACAGAACTAATATTGTGGATTCTGATCATCGGCTCAAAATCGTGTACCATCATCAGGAATTGAACGATACTGATATAGCGAGGAGAGTGAAGAGGGAGTTAAGGAACCAGTCGCCTTATTTCGAGCAGGCGTTGTACGTGGCTTCGGTTGCTGAAGAACAGCCTCCTGGTGTTATCGTCACTACTGTACGAGCACGGTAAGTTGAAAAAATTATTCTTAGGTGAAGGTTGTTTTGAATTATGAATTTCTAATAAAGTCATCACAGTATTACTTTTCGTTCAATCTTTTTGTTTATTTGTTTATTGATTGAAATATTAAGATTTAAACCACCACAATCTACTTTAATTACGAACGTACCTTTACCCCAATGAGTCGTGAACCACGAGCGGCTCCATCGTAAACCATCTGCCGCTTAATTGACTGTAAGCTGACTCTTTGGGCTTTTATGAACTCATCTATTTTACGCGTTCCGGAAATACTGTCAACCGCGGACAATAGCGCGTTATAACGCTAAAATATCTCAATTTACAATGCTGACGAGGTCTTTTGTGAAATGACAACCCGACAGTCATTTGTTATTCTAAATATTCATAGCGTTTGAATCATTATATCACATGTATACAGAATAAGGTCATGCTACGGTCATGGATCCGACTCCAGTTGGTTTTCTAATTCTGTTGAACTCTACGAATGACGTTCTTCTAATAACGTCAAAATTGCATAGTTAGTAAACTGTAGTATAAACCACTTTGACGGCTTAAATATTCGACTATGACGTGTAGGACTCGGTAGCTCAATTGGTTAGAGCAACAGCACGAAACGCTGTAAATGGCGGTTGAAGTCTCGCCTGTGTCGTATTTTTTTTTATTTATGTATCAGTTATTTCTATTATAGAACGTCGGGCCGTAGTTAAAATACTTTGTGTATTTTAACTACGACCCGACGTTCCGGATACTTGCAGCACTGAAGATGAAGGATGTCAACGTCAAATTTTTAAAACCCGTTTTAAACCGTTAAAAATGCTTGATTGAAATCTTTACTCGTCGCGTAAACTACAGACAGAGAAAGCTAATAAACAAAAGACTTATGAAAACATCTAATATCTCGAACAAATGAACTTCATCAAAAAATTCTTCAATCATTCAAACACGTTATTTATGTAGTTATCTCAGAATTAGTTCCAAGTAATAACACTTAATGGCCGAATGTAATAGACAAAGATAGGGCAATTTGCTTCGTTTCCTCCATTCGAAGGACTGAATTTTCTTTACGGTGCAATCCCAGCCATTGCTCATGTAATTACAGAGGTGTGTGGTAACTGTTGTGTAATTTAATCTCTGTGACAGTTAGCAATATATGCAATGCTTGTGAGAAGATATCTTGTACACTGTCTAGTTGTAAATCATATCTCGGATTTTCTTTAGCAATAAAGATTAAGGTTGAAATAACATTGCGCGAGAGGTGCATGTATCATGGCTTGAACAAATTGGACGAAAACGTGTACAACACGGTAGCATAAGTGGTTAGAGCAGCACAGAATGCTGTGGATGCCGATTCAAGTCCCGTCCGTGACGCAATTTTTTTCAATCTAAATAGATTTTGATTTTTTTTATGATAGAGGAGTACAGACATGGTTGAGTTTTATTTGAATGCAGGTAAAATACTCCAGCCATATAACATTTAAACGTGATGCGCTATCGACCTAATTTGGCTTTTATCCGAAATCCACACACTTAAACGGAAAGAAGAAATATTAAAAAATATAAAAATATTGGACCCGGTGGGGATCGAACCCAATACCCGTTGATTATTAACCATTTATCGCTACCATTACACTAAAGAGCCCATAAAAATTATACAAAATGTTGATCAAAGCGCTGCCTGATGGAAACCATTATTACTGATTCAAAAGCTCTCGCCCATCGCACTTAGGCACTGAGTTTAAGCTGTACTTTAGAGACTGTCTGACCATAGTTGCCGATGAAAATTATAATGTTATTTAATTGTTATCATCCTTTAATTACCAAAAGTAAAATATTCCTCATAAATTATCGCGAATCGTTAATAAAAGGGAAAAAATTAAAAGTTGGAATTGTTCGAAAACTCGGTATTGCCAGCCGTCAATATTTTCGAAACAAACACTGCAACCGACTACAGCTTCGCCGAATTTTAAAAGCGAAACCAACAAAAGTTCTACAGATAAACGTCGAAAATAAAGTTTCGTTATTTACGATTTATATGATCCTTTCAATATCGCATGAATGAATTTCAGTACAATATATTTCAGACGCAACGCTGCTTCCTGGGAAATATCTTTAATAATGCAGGAGAGAGAATTCTTTTCTCGAACAATAAAATTCATTTGTTGTATCGTACGTGCAGGCGGATGTAACTTTGAAGTCAAACATTGCAATTGTTTATTGAAACTTGTTCTGCTATATGAAAAATCGTCTTATGAGAAAGCATTGCACACAGTATATTGCTCTATTATAAAATTTAGCGAAATACTTGCTTATAAAGTAAACTTGCTATGATGCAAATGTTGTATCTAAAATTCATTCTATTGCTTCAATAACTTACTTAAATGCTGTATGGAACTTTATTTATAGAAAGAAAAATAGTTTATCTCACATATACAACACATAATTGTAAGAAAATTTTATAAGCGATATTGTAAATACATTATAATTTTTTACAAATTTCGTACTTAAATTATTGATTTTCACTTCATTGTATTAAATCAGTAGTCAAATATATTTCCAATCGATTACACCATTCTTATTGTCTATTGTCAAAAATCATGAAAAAAACACAGTCGAACATCTCGTAAATCTGTGTCATTCCAATGTCAACAATATTTATTATCTATGCATTATGCACATTTGGCGGGAAAGTGCTATCTGTGAAAAGTATTCCGCTCTCGTACAAGCAACCAATAACTCTTAAATTTTGAGTTAAATAAAAAAAGTAGTTTTATAAAAGAAAATTTCGTGCAATAAAATATATTACAAACAATATGAAATTGTATACGAATAACGAGTGACATTAAAAGAAATGTGTGAAATTAGTCGAAGAAGTTCAGTTCAGTGTTTCAAGTCCCGCCCGTGTCAAATTTTTTTTCATACAAAATAGATTTTTAGTTTAAACAATAAGCTAAACGATTAACTTGAGTAATGGTGATATATTATTATTACCATAACTCAATTAATGGCGTGCAACAAAAGAACTGGCAAGAAAATCGTACATTTCTCTTCATTCCTCTCATTTTTCTTTGTTATATTGTCTATTTAATCTTCCTTTACAGTGATCCAGAAAACAGCCCAGTGACCTACTCCATGTCAAGTCTTTTGGATTCACGATCAGCGGGCATGTTCGCTGTAGACACTAGAACCGGAGTAGTCACGACCCAAGCCAGACTTGATAGAGAAAGATTGGACGTCCACTACTTCAGAGTGGTCGCACAAGACGACACGTTCCCACCGAGAAGTGGTACTACCACTCTACAGGTATGCATTGAAAATCATTATTTTGCCTTACAAGAATATGACAACTTAAAATTAGCAACCAAATTTCCTTATCTATACACGGGCGTATATATGCCGGTGTATCGATATAAAATTATATAATTCCATATTTATACAGAAAATTATATATTCCACGATCCCAGATTTGTATTTTTAAACATTATGAAGGGTCAATTTACAAAATATATAACTACACCCCTAAGTTGCTTCGAAACGATGTATATAAGATTATTATTATTATATAATAAAATAATATAAGAATATACTATAATATCATCAATATTATGTTTATTTGATAACTTCGTAATACTACCATAATATCATGTCTAAAACATGTTTACTTATATAAGCTTTTACGTAAAAAAATAATATTTTAATGAATGATCTTTTGTACAGATTAACGTGTTGGATTGTAACGACCACCCACCCGTGTTCGAGATGCAGCAATACGAAGCCTCTGTGAGGGAAGGTGCTAGCCCTGGTACCACTGTACTGACTTTGAAAGCCACCGATCAGGATATCGGGAAGAACTCTGAGGTAATTACCCAATTAAAAAATAACTCGAGAACAATAATTTTGGCACTAATTCCCTTTACGAGACTACATTCTCAACTACAAACTCATTTCATAAAATCCTTATTTACGGGGAAGTAGTTGATCAGACAATTTATTGTTTCCCTGGACTGAATTTATACATCTACTCTTGTGCTTTACGTAATGCTATGCAACAACTTTAAACATTGAGCACCGATGTTCAATAACATAGGGTCAGACATTATAATTTAGTAATCACATTTTTTCTAGGTGGAATACTCGATAGACTCCGTTACAGCTGACCTATTAAATCCTGAAGACAACGAATCTATAGATAGTAGAGAAGTCACAGACTCTCAAGATGTCTTCAGAGTGGACGGGCGGAGTGGGGCCCTACTAACGAGAGCAACGCTGGATAGAGAGAAGGTTTCAAGATATACAGTTATCGTAAAAGCTACGGACCAAGCTAGTCCTGTTGCTGATAGGTTATCAAGCAGGTCAGTTCATATACACTTGAAAATACCTTCGTCAATTTGTCCTTCCTTAGACGGTTTGACTACTGGTGGTTAACACTGCATTAGTCGTTTCCCCCTGTGTTGTCAAGGGAAGGATGCTTCAGGCTAATCTCATACCACCCGTATATATCCTGGGTAAGAAAACAGAGGGCTATTAATCCAATTTAGATTGCGAATTGAAATACAATTATTTTAATAATTAATACCTTTTAATTTGACCTAAATATTCGATCTTCGTTTATACATTAAAGAATATTTAATCGATCCACGTATAAAACAAGAGACGATGCTATTTCAAAATGTCGTTAAAAAAAGAAAAAAAAAACAACCCTTCTTCCTTTGTACCCTTAAAAAAGACAGACCCATCTTCCTTCCTTCTTTTCTTTCTAATTACAATTGCGTTTAACGTTTTATTAAGTGATTCTAACCTTCTGGTTCTGATTAAGGGATGGGAAAATCCAGTTGAAGCACCAAAACCGCCATTAACTTTGTTACTCCATAAGTCTATAGAGTAAGTCTTTTCATGAAAGCTTTGTGGACGTTGCATAACCACACAAGGGTATAACTTTATTGCTCTAGTGTAAAATTTACTTCACATTTTATCTAACAATCTCTGTAACCGTAGACCCTTAAGTTCAAACTTTATCGATAATAATGTTTGGTGCAGTCAGCAGATTTTTAGGAAAATTCTGTCAATTTACTCGCTGATAATTTTGAGCGATTTAAAAGTTTTGAAAAGTGCCTGATGGCTACTTCAAAAAGTTAGTTCTTTACGAGTTTCAAAGTTGCTACGAAGTTTAAGAGATTAGCGAAGGAAAACACGAAGTGATAAAAAAATTACGAAAGTTACGAGAAGTTAATAAAACATTTATAAAATTAAAATTATCAATATATCTTTTACTGGCTAGGAAAAAGTTCAAACGGAAAACTCAGTTTTCTAATCTATCTAAGTGCGTTATTTCTGTTGCACTAATCTATATATTTAAAGTTACCTAATCACCTGAATTACGACGTAATATTTATTTTCTTGTTTTATGAAATTCGTTTTTTTCTCATAAGACTATTACTAAGAAAATATATTATGTAAATTATACAGATATATTCGACCTTTCCTTTTTTCTAGTGCTACAATCCACGTGAACATTCTCGATGACAACGACAACTACCCTCAGTTTAGCGAGAAAACTTACACAGTGACTGTTGAAGAGGATATCAGTGTTAATGACAACCCTGTTATCGCGAGAATTAAGTAAGTGCCTATTATTTATAGTTTGAATTATATATTATCAACCAACATTATAGAATTTATTTAACTTTTTTCTGTTATTTTGAATCTGTGGAAAAATCCTTTTCAGTCTGTTAAATATAGTAAAAAACCGACTATATTCAATACGAATCAATTCATCTAGATTTATAGCAACAGTAAATAAACTTATTGAATCAACTTTCAAAGCCGTATAATTCAAAGCGATTCACCCACTTATATTTTGAAAGAGCTACTTTCATAGATCTGGCGAAACACAAATAGGATATTATTTTTATTGGAATATCCCCAATAGCAGACGCCGGGACACCCGCGGCGTCTGCCACCGGGAATTTATAAGTCTACGGCCATTCCTTATTTGCGGATATTGTTTTTTCCGTCGCATAAATTGAATTATGTTTGCTGTTACCTCTGTCCTAGCTTAAACTCTTGGCTGGCTTTTATTGTTTATTGCTTTCACTTTATTTTCATTCATTTAATTAAACTAGACATCTTAAATAACCTGTAGGTATTAATTAATAGGATGAGATCAAATTTCGGTTTTACAATTGTATATGAATATAGTACTTAAAATAAAATATGCAATTCAATTTCTAATTTGGAGTTAGTGCAAAAAAGTTATTAAGGCTAATTCTTATTTTTCATAGTTAAAAACTATCAATTATCATAACGTTGGATTGATTACGGTTTATAGATAAAGAACCCAATTTACATTAGAAAATTACTTAAAAGCTTATATTCAACCGTTGGATTCAGTGATTATTACTAATATAGATCAATAAACAAGAAATATAATTTAGGGAGTCCGTGAACATTATATTTTGAACATATTGATGTAATTATATTTTGTGTGTCCAGATTAAACTTATTAAAATGATGAGCTAAATATATTTGTAAAGCAGTATCTAAAATACTATTTTAAATTACAATGTTTATAATACAAGATAAAACACTCAAAAAGCATTTATCAAATTAAATTGTTTCGGAATATGACAGCTGTCTCAGCCGAGACTTCCTGAACATCGAAGGAGAAACTCTGCTTTGTCGCCTAACTTTAGATATGGACATTTGTCATTTACGAAGACCGATTTGTTGCGAAGCCACAATGTCTTTGTATTTTCTCTGTGAGCACTAAGACATTTTTTTTTAAATTTCTTGTTAGTTTCTATTTACTCAAATTCTACAAAATGTTCTGAGTTTTAAGATAGCTTATCACAAACTGTTACACTATAAAATCGATAAAATTAATATAGAGAATGAGCTACATTTTGAAACTCGAAGTACTAAACGGAATTATATTAACAAATTGAACTACTTACTAGCAATTACAATTATGTTTTGCTGTCTCAAAAATATATAACAGGGACGAAGAGACTTCTGTCCCTGCCCGACCGAAACCATTTTGTTACCCTGGAATTCGAACCCAGGACCTCTCGCGCTTAACGCAATGGTAGACACACAGAGGCGGTCTGTCAACGGAACTGTCATGTTACTAATATTTTATTATTTTAAAAAAAACTATATTGAAAGTCTTGATTTATAATTTAAATAGCTTCAATTCTAATCAAAGTAAATCAATTGTGCCTTGCTAAGTTTCCCAAGACCGGTTCGCTCACGGAAAGCTTCCTCCCCTTTTCATCCTCAGAATTTCTACTCCACGACACTTCGGTCACGCATTTCTATATTTTCCGAGATCTTCCAATATTTCTTACCTTCTTTTTTCATCTTATATTTGGAGTAACATTACTTAAACGTATATTTACAGAGCAAAGGACGCCGACATAGGAGCAAACGCTGCAATTCGATACGCAATAATTGGCGGAAATACACAAATGCAGTTCTCTATAGACAGTTTAAGTGGAGATGTATCTTTAGTGAAACCTCTGGATTATGAACAAGTTAGGAGTTACCGTCTGGTGATTAGAGCCCAAGGTTTGTAACTTTCATTACAGACACTACATCTACAATAAACACTCTCTCATTGGCGACAGTCAAATATGTTTCCTTTTTTATTAAATTCCTGGAATATGTTTATCACGGTTTTCATTAAGTTAAATATGACATTTGTTTTTAAAGTAAAACTAATCCTGTTTTACAGATGGGGGAAGTCCGTCCAGATCAAACACTACTCAACTACTAGTAAACGTTAAAGATGTGAACGATAATTCTCCAAGATTTTATACTTCCCTATTTCAAGAGTCTGTTAGCGAAAGTGTACCAGTTGGATATAGCATTGTTAGGGTATGTATATTTTTAATTTCTTTTATTCTTTCTTAAACTACTACATATTTTCGTTAATTTAGTTTTAGCATTTTGTAAATCAAATTGCCTACTGTCTGTGCAAGTATAAAAAATAATTTTCAAATAAGTTTAACTAATATTATCGCGTATAAACCGTTAACGTCTTTTATTTAAATCAAATTATCCGTGCATGTAGTCCTGAATTCAACCTAAAAAATAAGTGTTGCAAAATTGAAAACATAATTACGTGGTTATTTCAATGGTCTTACCAGGTACAAGCATACGATGCTGACGAAGGTGTGAACGCAGAACTCACATACACTTTAAGTGACAAAGAGTACAATGGCAAAACTGAACTGCCGATAACCATCGACCCCAGATCCGGTTGGGTCTTTACATCTAGCTCGTTAGATAGAGAAGTACAATCAAAGTATCAGCTACAGGTTGGTATATATCTTGAAATTCTGTATCAAAAAAGGAAAATGTGTTTTTTTAAGTTTTTCTTTTTTTTTTGATATTTTCAACTTTATTACAGAGTTTAAAAGATAAAACAATTTTAACCTACCTTCATAATAACTTTGATAATATTAACTAACCTCTAAATCAGGAAAAAAAGGGATTTCTTTTTTGTCTAATGACTTTGCATATATTAGTAGAACTATCCGTCTTTTGAGTATCATGTGACCTCCTAGAAATAAGTAGGTGAGTATTTCTTAGGCACTAATTTTAGTTAAATATTTAAATAACACAGGTAACAGCGACAGATAACGGTTCTCCGCAACGTTCAGCCACAGCTTCAGTTGTGGTAGTAGTACAAGATGTAAATGATAACGATCCAGTATTCGTACCAGCGCAGTACGACGTAGAATTGGCTGAAGATGAGCCACCAGGAACACCTGTGGTTACTGTCACGGCTACTGATGCTGACGAGGATAATAGGTAAATATACAAACCATATGTAGGAAAAAAGTGTGTTTTTTGTTAATTTTTACGATCTAATTATTTATTTAATATTTATATACATAGTTAAAAGAGTGAAGACATTATTTAGCCTTGTAAATAAAACCTACTGCCTGTGATATACTATCAATCTACCACCAAAGATATATATACTATGATAAAATTCTGTATATGTAATCGTATATAATGAAGTGGTTAAATCAAATTTTATTAAAATTTATTGTCATTTTTGGAAAAACTTAATATGCGTATAGCTACGAAGTTTATAATTTTTCGTTTCTCAGATTACATTATGAAATCACCGGTGGCAACACTCGCGGTCGCTTCTCAATAACATCGCAAAACGGACGCGGCTTGATAACAGTGGCTCAACCTTTAGACTTCAAGCAAGAACGACGCTATGTTCTTACAGTCACAGCTACAGACTCCGGGGGAAGATCAGATACAGCAATGGTCCATATTAATATCACCGACGCCAATAATTACGCTCCAGTTTTTGAAAATGCACCTTATTCTGCTTCAGTAAGTCCTGAATTAGTATCTAAGAAATATATAATCATTTATTAAAACTTTAAAGGGCTTGAGAGCCACGATAGAACCTTGTGCTACGCCTACCGTCTTTGCTAACGAAGCGATGTATTTAAATATAGCTATTTATTGTACAGGTATTCGAAGATGCACCAATAGGAACGACGGTTCTTGTAGTTTCTGCTACTGATAGTGATGTCGGAGTTAACGCACAGATAACATACACCCTAACCTCGGAAATATCCAATGAGGCCGTGGCGCATCATGATCAAGAGTTTCTTATTAATCCACAAACTGGTGCCATAACCACTAACAAACTGCTTGATAGAGAAACTATGAGTGGTGAGTCTACACTTACTATTTTACTATTGTATGTACTTCCGATAACGTACGTTTGGTATATAAAATGCTTTTAACATTTTACAACTGTTTCACACTTTATATTTGCAGAATAGAAAAAATAATTCTATATATACCGGTAAATGATATATAAATACCCAAAATAACTATTCTACGCGTACGACGTCGCTAACTCAGCTAGTTTATAAAACAGTGTTACCAGTTTTAAATACTTTTGGTTGACTGACTTAGTTGTAGTAACTGTTCAAATAACGTCTCCCTGCAAATAAGCTTCTTGCATATGCATTTTTTGACATTATTTCCTATACATATTAGGGTTACATGATTTTTAACTAAATTAGTATGTCTTGTGTCAAGCAGTAAATCGATGGATTTTATTTTAGTTTTTTATTGTTAATATTTCCGTGATATGAACTATCTTAAAATGTTAGTTGAAAATTCCCCTGACAATGGAATAGGGTAGAGCAAAGTAGAGAGGGTACGTACTTTAAAAAGACTTAAGGCTCGACATTTACTTTTTTTTTCAATTAACAAAACGTAAAATACAGGAAGTATAAGATACGCTATACATTTTTTGAAGCGTGGAAATTTAATTGATATTGTAGATTATACCGGTATTTTCGATTACTTAACAGTTAAAAAAGGAAAATAACACAAACGGACGTTTTTCGTGTTACAGTAATATAAACTAATTCATATGTGTAATTTTTTTTTTTTCAGGATATCTCCTAACAGTGACAGCTAGGGACGGTGGCGTTCCAGCCCTATCTGATACTACAGACGTCGAAATTTCAGTAGTTGATGTTAATGATAACGAACCAGTATTTAAACAACAACTATACACCGCAACTATTATGGAAGATGCTTTAGTGGGTAAGTAAAGAAACGATCAATCTCCACATTTTTTTTAATGTGTTTCGATAGAAAAATTTTCATGGTGACTTTAACCGCATTATTTTGTTATCTAAATATATGTAAAGCTGAAGAGTTTGTTTGTTTGTTTGAACGCGGTTATCTCAAAAACTGCTAGTCCAACTGGATTTTTTGTTTGTTTTGGTTAGAGCATTTATCGAGGGAGGTTATATATAAAGCATCCGACTGTGATTAATAAGAGCAACGGAACAGCTCGAAATGTGGAGAAAGTGGGAAAAAATATTTATCGTTTGAAAACTTTATTATTTTTTACATGTATTGCACATGAAGCCACTATATAAATTAAGAGCAACATCACGGAACGCTGACAATTCCGGTTCAAGCCCTGCCCGAGTCGAAATTTTTTTCAATTTATTTCTCGATTTTTAAATTAAATATTTATCGGTTCAAGACACCCAAAAAATGTGTACGAAATAATGATTTCTCGTTAAACGATCTAAAAACTGTGACAGTATATATCTATTTTTTAATATAAACTTGCAAGAATGACGGGACGCATATGATGTCGTGGGACATTTGCAAAAACCAAATCTTGATGCCTATTCTACGCGGACGCAGTCACTCAGACAGCTAGTACTAAATAATATTATAACATAAAGTTGGAAGTCCCATCCAAATTACTCTACTTCAAAACAAAACAGAAATTACCCTAATGAACACTGGCTGGTTTGTGTATCTTTAAAACTTCAAGCTCTTTCCGACCGATTAGAATGCTTATAATTTTTCAGGTACGTCAGTTACTCAAGTAGCAGCAACTGATGCAGATGTGGGCCTGAACGGTCGAGTGCATTACGAATTGGAATCTCGAGATCGTGAAGAGGGCTCTTTCGTTATAGACCCAGCTTCCGGGGTTATTCGGACCAATAAGGCTTTAGATAGGGAATCTGTGGCGACCTACGATTTGAAGGCGTTAGCTATTGATGGAGGAACACCGCCGCAAAGTTCTACTGTAAGTATATTTCAGAATAAAACTCCACAGTAACTATTCTTTATATTTTTGGGTTCAATTTTACAGTATTTTTTTTCTATTATGAGTTTATTTTTTTGAGGGGCTCATTCGAAAGGGTCTGGGTAGTTAATAACAGGTACAGGTCGCGGGTCCGATCCCACATCATCGTTCCTTTGGAACAAATTAAAAAAAATCTAAAAAAAAATTGGGGGGGGAAAAAAAAATTAAATGGGTGGTGGTATCGAAAAACCGTCCGGGTCACGAACACCACTCGACATCACGAAATCGCGTTTTGGTTTCAGTTTGTAAATTTCCGAATATCCAAAGCCAAAAAATCGCTTTTTCAGATGAAATACGGTCTGAGTACTGTACACTGCTCGATTTTAAGAAATCATATTTTGACCTACAGTTTGTTAATTATCCGAATATTTAAAAATAGCGCTTTGTAACATATATATAAAAAATATTAAAATTTCCAGGTAATAGTCCACATAAAGATCGAAGATATAAACGATTCGCCGCCAGTGTTCGAGAGCGATTGTTTAACATTTTACATTCCTGAAAACAGTCCTATAGGAACGACGGTTGGAGAAATCTTCGCCCACGATCCGGACGAGGGGCCTAACGCAGTTGTCCATTATTCTATTAAAGGTAAATAAATTACCGTTTCTATAACTTAATGATTGATCGTATTGTCTAATATCGCATTAAGCATGGTGGTTAGGAACCGCTGGGAATAAATTATTTCGGTCGTACAGGGCACAGTAATCTGATCAACTACTTGCCTGTAAATAAATACGATCAGTTAAATTGACACGGATATGGATTCGCCCTATGTTTCACAGGGGAATTAGGATTTGTAACAGTAATTGTAAAAAAATAAATATGACTAAAACGAATTATTGACACATAAATTTGCTTTTATGTAATTATAATTGATATAAATGAAATAATTATAATTTGACCTGACTAAATGCCCTATAATATAAGTTAAAAAATATTACTTGGAAACAATTCAATGACACTGACTCCAACCAAAGACTATTGCGTTACGTGTTGTAGCTTATACCAAGTGAGCTATTTTACACTAGTTTAAAAGTTGAGTCTAGTCAAATTTGATCAATCTTTTATTTATTTTATATCCTAAAATTTGTATTAGTATTATTATTTTAAAATACGCAAAAAAAGGTAAATCGTTAAAAACTATGTGTATCATATTATATTGTCTTTCGTTTTTGTTTTTTTTTTACAAAAGATGGCGTTGTTATAATTACAGGTGGAGATGACTCCAATAGCTTCTCACTAGAAACAAGACAAGGTTCTGATAAAGCAGAACTCGTATCCATGGTCGACCTGGACTATGAGAGTCCTCGGAAGAAATACGAACTTATAATCCGTGCAGCAAGTCCACCTCTATGGAATGACGTTAGAGTTGAGATTCTGGTAACAGATGTGAACGATAACGCGCCTATGATGAAGGATTTCCAGGTCATCTTCAATAATTATAAGGATTGCTTTCCCGTTGGACCTTTTGGGAGAGTACCAGCTTATGATGCAGATGTTTCCGATAAGGTTTATATATTTTTATTTGGATAGTTTTAAAACTGAGAAATATTATAATTACAGTGGAATCTCTATAACTCGAACTTCAAATACTGTAAGTCGAAAAAAATGCTATTCCCTTCCGCTGATATACGCGGTATCTCGAATTAATTAGACTTTGTAACTCGAACAAAATGTTATTTCCCTGCGATGTATTATTAAGGATATTTATACTCTGTAACCCGAATTTGAAAAACAAGACGTAAGTCGAAGTTAGTAAAATGTACTTACTGTGTGTCTTCTTTGGAATTTTTCAAAATCATAGCGATAAATTCAAAAGGAATGTTTGGTGTAGGTTCGGGATGTCTACTCTACCGTTTATGTCTTCTACACGTGCAACGAATGACCATCGAAAAATATAGTTAGAAACCGTACCTTTCTAAGTCAAAGTTTTATCAAGTAAATCTTTTGTACCTCCAAATACTTGTTCAGGCGAAAGCTCATGAAGTCGAATTTTTTAGCACTTCCCTTGAAATTCGAGTTATCGAGATTCTCTTGTACTAACTTAAGATGCCAATATGCAAAACTTTTTGGTTCTTTTCCAGACATAACTCACTAATCTTTAAATAGTATTAAAAATTTTACTTTTAAATACGTTCGTTGGTACGTTTTGTAAGAGATTATTCTGTTTGCCTAAGTCTCGCCATTTTTATTTGCAAATTCGAAAAAATAAATATATCAGGACATAGTAAGTCTTTAAATAATTGTAAATGGCTAATAGAGTTGACGAGAATAGTTCACTACTAACCCATGACGGTGAAACGTCTTCTTTACTTAATATTTTCTTTACAGTTTATTATATTGTTTATCCGTGCGTCATATTATATTGTATGTAATAAAAATTATTTTCTTTCCAGCTACAATATCGTATACTATCAGGCAACAATGCCAACTTAGTGTTGTTAAACGAAACGTCAGGGTCAATGACCTTATCGCCACAGCTCAACACCAACGTGCAGAAACTTGCAACTATGGAGATTTCAGTATCTGGTAAGAATATTTTTTAACCTTATAAACGTGTTGATTATTTAGAAAATACATCGTGTAACATAAAGTATGTTAAATACTATCTATAGTTATGCGAGTAGTACACATTTAAATAAAAAACTTTAACGGTTTAAAACGCGATATATTTTGATAAACTTCGAATTAGAGAAAAACTTGAAAATTACGGCCTGCTGTTTCGGATGCTTTCTCAGCAGCAGTCTCCCCGTGACCGTAAAGTGTTTTTTTTAAAGATTTTGTTTTTTTACAAATATTTAATAACTTCCCATTTCTAGACGGTGTCAACGAGGTTAAAGCAATGATGCAGCTCCTAGTACGTCTAATAACTGAAGATATGCTCTTCAACTCGATAACAGTTCGTCTCAACGACATGACAGCTGAAAGATTCCTGTCCCCCTTATTAGGGTTCTTCATAGATGGTCTAGCTGCTATTATACCGTGTCCTAAGGAAAACATCTACATCTTTAGTATACAGGTATTGTTTTCTTTAACTATGTATGTGTGTGTGATAATCCCAAAACCCTAGACTAAAACCACAACGCGATTAATAGCCATATATTGCTACCATTAAGCCAACTGGCCCGTCAAAACAAGTCATTTTTTTCTTTTTTATGGTATTTACATAACTATAACATACATTCTATATATAAGTTGGGTTACTATCATTTATAATTTTGCCTATTTCAGGACGACACAGATGTATCTGGCAACATCCTGAACGTGTCATTCTCAGCTGTAAGGCCTGACGCTGAAATTGGTATATCTGGAGATGCATCTCAGTATTACACACCAACACATTTGCGGGAGCGAGTTTATTTACATCGGACCACGTTAGCAAGATTAGCTACTGTGCAGGTATTGTACAGTATAAGTTATAGTGTTTATGTTCTAAGTTTGAATTTTAAAAAAGGAACACGTTTTTGAAAAAAGTAGGAAAAAAGTATAGTGATATTCTTATTTTTTAAAGAATATAATATTATATGTTTTGATAACCGCCTTTGTAACTAAATGGATAAACGGGTAGCCTAGCGTTGCGTTAAGCGCGAGATGGTTTGGGTTCGAATACCGCGGCAACAATAAAATTGTTCGAACCGTTCGGACAGGGCACAGAAGTCTGACCAACTACTTACCTGTATATAAAACCGATCAGTGAAAACACAGAAATGTGTTCGCCCCATGCCCCACGTACCCACGTGATTTAATACACAAGAATCATTGATAAGAAATGATGGCGAAATATAAGTCGACAGTTGTTGTGATGTTAAATGACCTGAAGAAATTATTTCACCTTCCAGCACGTGAACATCATCTCTGTCTGCCCTCCTCTGTCATTAAAAATAGTTATATTTGTAAAACGGCTAATTTTCTATACCGATTTATAATCTGCCCTAAACCGCCTAATTTAATATTATATAATCTACATTTTTTCGTCTCAGGTTCTACCATTTGATGACAATGTTTGCGTTCACGAACCGTGCCTCAACTTCGAAGATTGTCTAACCATACTCAAGTTTGGCAACGCATCTGGGTTTATAATTAGCGATTCGGTGTTATTCAGACCCATATACCCCGTCACTACCTTCACTTGTCAATGCCCACGAGGTTTTACAGGTAAGAAATGTAAACTAGGTAAACTAAGGTAAAACGCATAAAATATAATATACAGGATGCCGTCAAACTTTGACACAATAATTTAATAAAATATAGCTTGACAGGTACAGAGTATATTTGAGAAATCTCATTAAAATTGGCCGAGGAGGTTTGGCGCAAGAACTCTTTTTTTATTTCTTTTATGATAAAAGGTGTAACATTCAACGACATCTGTGCTATTTATGAAAAGGAAACTTATAAATTTGATCGTTTGGAAAATCCTGTGCCAACAAATTTTAAATGTATTTTAGAAATAATTAGTACTTTAATTGTCTATGCAGTAAAGTGTTTTATTAACATAATCATTTATTAGCCGGTTGTAAAATGAGAAAAAAAAAGTTGAGTTTAAATCAAAGTATTCTAAAATAAAATTCAAAAGAACAAACGTCACTTCTTCTCGAAACACTTTGAAGGATCCCATTTCATGATTCATTATAAAATGAAAATGTTAAACACAAAAAACTTCATACAACAAAAGTAACTTAAAATAAATTTGTGCTTTATTTTAAATAATTTGCACATACTTTTTTCAATAACTCTTTCGTGTAAAAATAGTACTATATTATTTATTTCTCTTTTTTCAATGTTACATACACGAATATACATAAATAGTTATATTTTATATTTTTTTCCTGTATTAATAAGCAACGCTTGTCCGTAAGTTTAATACGTACGTGCTAGTTCGTATAAACGTAAATTGTATTGTATCTATAAGTATTCAGTCGATAAGCCTTTAAGTATAAATAATTAAATAAATTTATTTTGTCATAGGCTCCCGCGAACACTACATGTGTGATACGGAGGTGGACCTGTGTTATTCGTCTCCATGTGTGAATAATGGCACTTGCATCAGGCGAGAAGGAGGATATACTTGTGTTTGTTCAGCTGGATTTACAGGTAACTATCACTAGCTATACATTTAGTGAGTGTCGCTTACTAATATTGCGGTATATTAGGCATAAACTCCAGCAGACTACTTAATTATGTCTTAAGATATGATGGTGATAATTGCTAAATAAATCTAATAGTAAATACTGTGTTACGCGATGTCAATTTAAATAAAACACTTTAACGGTTTAAAACGTGAAATTAGTTAAACATTTGGAAATTATTTTTAGTGACCACGGCCAAAGCATCGAAACTCGGGCCGAAGATAAAAATCATTTCCAAATAAGTTTAACTAATATATCGCGTTTTAAACCGTTAAAGTGTTTTATTTAAATCTAATAGTATTGAATGGGTGAGATCAAGGAATTATGTTTGAATATTTTATCACCCGTTAATTGTTACACATGAAATAAAAGACTTAACGGTTTAAAACGACAAACTATGTTGGTTTATTCGTTTAGTATCATCCCCTTCGACCACAGCTGCACTCCCGAAATGTCGGGTCGTAGTTAATAATGAATTATCTAATTTGGCTCACATTCTTAACCGTTGAAAAGCTTAAATTTAACGGTTAACTACGTTTTGTCTGTCTATTACGCGAGTAGTAACAATTATATCGGTTCAAAACGACCAATGAAACCAATATATTATTAATTTATTGTCACCGAAAAAATGCGAAACATCAAGCCGTAGATAAAATAAACTAAAAGTAAGTTACGAATATATTTCGGGTTTTAACTTGTAAACGTTTTTTACCTATGTAATGTGTTAATGTTTATCTTACACATAAATAGAAAACAAAGACGACTGAAATACAAAGTTACTTACGTTTGTAGGTACTCTAAAAGTATTTGTTTTTTCATTAGGTGTGAACTGCGAAACGATACTAACGAAAGCATCTTGCGACTTCAACGGCGATGGCTCCATCTGTCGGAGCGGGTCGCAATGCGTGGCGAGAAGGGAAGGAGGCATTTTATGCCAGGGTTGTGCCATAGATGCTGCGTACACCACGTCAATGTGCGAATTGAAGGCCCGGAGTTTCCCAGCCACATCGTTTTTGACGTTTGCAGGGCTGAAGAAACGGCATAGGTTCCATTTAAAATTGCAGTACGTACTTGTGATCCTGTCTGTAGCTAAATGGTTGTATAGCTTGCCTAGGATTGTGTTAAGCGAGTGAGATCCTGGGTTCGAAGTCCAATGAAACAGAAGTTTCGGTCGGGCGGGACACAGAGATCTGACTACCTGGTCTGTAAAACCGATCAGTACAAAGTACGCAGAAATGTGTTCTCTGCAAGCCCCAGGGGGGAGACCTGGTCTTTACTACATTCTTTATCTTTTTATATAATCTAAGCACCTAATTAATTAAATTAGTTTAATATTTAAAATGACAATTTGCGATATTGAAAAAAAAAAGGTTTTATTTATTAAATTTTATCTTTATATATATAAATCTCCTTTCATGTTTGTCCGCTATGGACTCCTAAACTACTGAACCGATTTTAAATGAAATTGGCACACCGTGAGCAGTCTGGTCCTACTTGAGACATAGGATAGTTTAGATCTTTAATTATAGTGCCATTATTTTATTACAAATTATTTGCATAAATAATTGACAGTTACAATGGATTGAGTAAGTAATCAAAGATGGCATTGCTAGGTAACCGACAACGTTCATATAAGCTACAATTCAAAGCATCCAGTATTTGGAACTAAAGTATAAATTAAATTAATTTTGTACTAGGGTAAAAGTCGAGATAAGGGCTTTTTTACATACCACCTATGTAAAAAGCATGCTGGTCCCCGTGACTGATGTTCTCCTACTGTTCCTCTTAAATTGTATACCACAATGTAATAATACAATAACTTCAGCCACAACACCGCGTGGCCGGGTCTGCTAGTCTATATATATATTTCTGTTTTCTTATAGCACAATATAATTTCAATCGGTTTTCAGATTTGCCACGCAAGCGACATCTGGCCTTCTCCTCTACAACGGAAGGTATAACGAACGTCATGATTTCGTTGCCCTGGAGGTGATAAGCTCAGGCGCGGGAAGAGGTGGGGCTGGTTTGAGGTTCACATTTGCACTTGGCGGTGGAAAGACGGAGGTTACCGTGGAGGGAGATGTAGCTGATGGGGCATGGCATAGCGTTGAAGTGGAGTATTATAATAGGGTAAGATTCGAATTAATATGTCTTGGTTTAAAACGGGGATTATATTAGTTACGTGATTTTTACCAACCACGGTATTCTTTCGGTAGCTTTGCAACAGTTTTAATAGTATATAGGGATGTTACAAAGTTACATATCCAGAAACAGTCTAACAAAAATATTTTATCATCAAAATAAAAGCTGTTTTAGGGTTCAATTTCCTTTCCTGTGCAAACTGAAACATTTGATAATATCACATACATTTTGTAATATGTATTATTTTAACAAAAAAAATATAATTTTAAACAATCCACAGACAGCAACTATGATCCTAGACGACTGTGACAAAGCTCTATCGTTAGCGGGGGCGGGAGACTTCGGTGTGAAGTACGCATGCGCCAATTTCACGAAGAAATTATTGCCACCACGTTGCGACATTCCGACGGAAACTTGCCACAGGTAATGATAATTTTTAGATTTGAACATGCATAAAATATATGGACAATACAATTCATAACTTTAAAGTGTTATTCTCTCCTTACATTGTATTACTTTACAGACATCCACTTTAACTTTTCGGGTCCCACCCACATCAACATTTGAACCCTATATATTCCAATTATTGTTCATTAGAAGAATATCTTTAATTTTTTTCGAAGATTGATCTGCCGATCAACATTGCCATAGAAAATAAACTTAGCAGTGTTAACATCCGCAGATTCCTAGATCTGACTGGTCCACTGCAGATCGGCGGTCTACCGAATATCCCTAGCAGCTTTCCAGTGAAGAATAAGGACTATGTTGGATGTATATCCGATTTGTATATCGATCATAAGTTCATCGATTTAAACAGGTAAGGTATCATAACTACCATTGGTAAAATATAGAGTATCCAAAATGTAGTTTAATGATTATAATACAAGCACGACGAGCATGCCGTTCACTTGATAGAAGGTGAAAGAGCCTATTTTGTCTTTGAATAGTCTGAAATCCACTTTTATACTTATCTATGGACGGTGGTTCGTGAACCGGACAGAATTTTCTACCATCCAACATGTTCCAAAATTAACTTAATTAATATGTTTAGAAATAATTTGGACCCGGTGAGGATAAAACCCACGACCCGTTTATAAACAATTAATTGTAATATATATATAATACGATTAAACCCAAGAGCCCGTCGAAAATATTCATTGTAGCTATATATTTTTATTGTATTTAAATATTGAATAGTTTTTGGTTTAATGTTTCTAATCTATTAATATCCCACTTCTGAAAACGAATTCTACCGGTTTTACGGACAGAAGATAAAAGAGTTTACGAGCTAAGACCCACCTGCTCCAGTGTGGGTTTGTGGCCTAATTATATTATATTAATAAGCGATAGCTTTTGTAACTTATCATAAATTATTATCAGCTACGTGGCAGACAATGGAACCCTGGCGGGTTGTCCAGAAAAGCGTTCTCAATGCAGCAGCGCCCCATGTTACAACGACGCTGAATGCCATGACTTATGGGATACTTTTCTGTGCGATTGTCCTGAGGGCTATACTGGCAAGGATTGCGCTGAATGTAAGTTTATTTAAATGCTATTAAAGATAACAACGCGGAGCATTTTAGTAATATTCAATTTTAATTTTGTGATATGTTGATTACTGTTACGAAATCTTGGACCGACATAAAAGAACGCGTAAGACACAGTTACTCAGTTCACTTTTCTGTAGGATTTATCAAAAACTTAATATTTTTCACATTTTATTGCACATTGGCACGATGTAAATAAAAAATCGACATTACATTGAATATATTCTACGATACGGGTAGGACTTGAACCTCGAATTTCTTCAAACAACATGCGTGAGACAGAGGTGCATGTGTCAAACATGCCATTCTGTGTTGAGCCTATTATTAAAGTTTTGCCCGTTGTAAATTTTGTTTCTTACACATATTTACGACACATAGGGCATTTTTCTATACCACGTACACTTTGCTTAGTTAGCTGTCATTTCATAAAACACGAATCTTTAACCTAATGGCATATATTCTTTACAGCTACGGCTCCACCATGGCGATTCAGCGGAGATGGAATGCTTTCTTTCAACCCACTCTTGCGTCCTATACAACTTCCTTGGCTGAATGCTTTGACCATAAGAACGAGGCAGCAAGACGCTTTTCTAATGTCCATACAAGTGGGACAGAATAGTACAATACTAGTTTCGGTAAGTTAAGATTAGATTAAATTGTCGGCCACCTCTAAAACCAATTAATTAATTTATAAAAGAATTTGTAATTGTACATTTCAAATGTAATCTTATGATAGCTTGGTCATTGGCAGGCTCGAAGGACCAAATATATCAATGTTAATTTTGTAATCTTCTATTTATTTTTATATATTATTGATTATTATATATTTAATTTTTAATATAGCTAAAATCCGGTCTACTTCACTACTCGTATAACGGCGATACGATGTTCCTGCCGTCAACTACGTTAGCTGATGGCAAATGGCACCGCATAGAGATCAAATGGCTCGGTACAGACATATCCGTGGGCATAGATTATGGATTGCGAAACGCGTTACTACCGATGCTAGCAAATAAAATCCAAGGCCAGTACATTGGGAAGATCCTTATCGGTGGACCTGATACAACTGCTGGAATATTGTCTTCGGACGTCGGATATTTTGAGGGGTGCATTCAGGTAATTATACATTTACACTCTACATACAAGCGTACGATACATAAAACTTCTAAAATTCACAGTTTAAAAATGTTTTTAAAAATATAGACAAGAATTTGGTACACTAATTTAATCTTTTTGATTTTTGTAATTGTGCGTGTTCTACAGGATGTCCGAGTAGGAACAGCTCAATCTCTTCTCAACAGGCCAACGGTTAGAGAAAACGTACGCGATGGTTGTCAATCCAGGGCTGACTGTATGCTGTCTATATGTCCGCCATATGTAAGTATTTGACTTATATATTTAAACTTTGTAATAAAATCTTCTTTTATAAAAGAAGAAGTAATATAATAATTTACTGATAAGCAATAACAAATTTTGAAATACGGGAATTGAATTTAGGTAAAAATAGGTACTTAATTTATTGTTCTTCTTCTTAGAATATACACGTACAAAAGGCTATTTAAATATACAATTAGGTACGAGTCAGAAAATCTCTTATAAAATTACATACATTCTGTTAAATGCCGCGATTTAACTTATACGATCACGCCTTGTCATTCCTCATTGGAAGCCATCAAATTAAGAAGAAGTATTATTTGACGTTTCCGTTAAAGTCGAATTATCCATTCAGTAAAGCTGTAGATGGCAGCACTGTGACATATTATTTAATATAATTCTTGTGACCGTGTACAATATGAAATGTGTGTGTGATATACTGTGTTAGACAATACAGATTATAATATAATTTATTCCACAGAGTAAATGCCTGTCAGCGTGGGATACCACAGAGTGCGAATGTGAGCATGGCCGATTTGGGCCACAATGTGTGGCTGCTTGCGATATTCAGCCGTGCGGGGACCATGCCACCTGTGTCCCTGATGACTCGATTAGAGGATACTCTTGCAATTGCCACATTGGATACACCATGAGTGGTTAGTGAGAATATTTATGTTCTTCCATTTATTTTACTTTTTTAATCTGCCAAAATTTACTTCAATAATTAGCTCATAATAGTCCTTAAATCTTATTTTTAATGTTTTAAATTGACTATTTTCTTTCTATTATATATTTTTTAAGTCCCAATATATGTAAGGAAAACGGTTATTTAAAGGTTAATAAACGAATATTACTTTTGTAGCACAATTTAAATATAATAGCATCCTGTAATGTTAAGTTTTAAAATTTTAAATCTACCGTACAACTCATATATTATTTTCCTTTGACTCACGCCAATTCACGTTATCATGTTTAATATAATTCCAGAAGGGATATGCGTAGAAGAAAGCACAGACGATCAATGCCCTGGTGGGTGGTGGGGGGTTAAGGCCTGTGGACCGTGCGATTGCGACGCAGCGCGAGGGTTGCACCCTTATTGCGCGCCGAAGACCGGCTTATGTCACTGTAAAGTATGTATATTTGTTCCATACTTATGAATAATTGTAAAACAGTGTTTCTCCTCTTGGGGGCATGGGATGAACACAATTTTGTGTCTGTTTTCTGATCGTTTTTATATACTTACAAGTAATTGATTTCTATGCCCTGCTGACTCGACTCTACTGAAACAATCTATTTTTCTCCGGGATTCGAACCCTCTCGCGCTTAATGTAATGCTAGGCCAATACGTTTAGGAACGTGGGCTGAATCTGTGTTGTAAGTTCGCTGTTAGCTATAATTGGATTTTTTTTTAACTGAGTAACTATTATTTTAAGTACAGATCTTCTTTTTTTAAAAACCTTCATTTAATTCTTCCAGGAAAACCACTACAAGCCTGAGGGCTCGGCAGACTGTATTCCATGTCAGTGCTACGCTGCTGGCTCAGTTAACAGCTCGTGTGCCAGTGTTTCCGGCCAGTGCTATTGTCGGAGCGGGGTTATAGGACGAGCATGTGACTCTTGTGCTAACATATACGCTGAAGTCACACCCAACGCTGGATGCAAGGGTGAGTTTTTATGATAGAAAATGTATGAAAAGTTGTAACTTAACGGGGTCGTTGGTGGTAATATTTAATTATATATCGATTCTTAGTAAACAACACAAATGTCTTAGATTTATTTATTATTAGAAGCATTATTCAATAGAAGATAAAAAACGCGAAAATAGACACTAATAATATATTTAATAATAATTAGAACAACGGTGGTAGAAATACAAAGTAATAAAAAGCTACATAATCCACTACTTTTAATTAAAAGTGATAAAATAAGTAAGAGTGTAGTATATACGCTGAATAGTGTTGTCTCTCTCGCTCACAGAACAAGGATGCGACAGAAACTTGAGGAACGTTAAATATTTATATTCTTGAGTGATACCCAATTTACTTAGACTCCACTTGATTTAGACATAGGTATAATTTCTTTTTATATTGAAATAGATTACATTATCAAAATCTCATTTGAAAGTGGTGCGGACTAGTATAGCTTTACCTAATCTTGTTAAAGTTCATATTCAATAACAAAAAACCTCTTTATCAATACAATGTGTGTGTGACTGTGGGTGTGTGTGAATTGATAACAATGGTTGGTAATTAATATTTCAGTTGTCTACGATGGATGCCCGAAATCTTTTGCGGCTGGAGTCTGGTGGCCGCGAACCAAATTTGGCATACAAGCTTTAACGGACTGTCCATCAGGTGAGTGATATCAACATTTTCTGTCATTTTACAGCAGTAGCCCTTTTGTGACTGTAAATTTATTTAATAATAATTCTTGTAAGTAAGGACTAAAATAAAGTGTTCTGTTTCTAGGTTCCAGTGGAAAAGCAACACGCATGTGCGATGGAAGCCAAGTCATACCCTGGCAAGAACCGGATATGTTTAATTGTACTACGTCTACCTTTTATCAATTGAGGAAGCAGGTATGTCATTTGCTCCATTTATTATTCTACTAATCTAATCACTAAAATCAACAAACATATATACAATATAGGCTCTTTTAAGACACTTGCTCCTTGAAAGAAATTATTGATGGAAATATCCTTCTGTAAATGATCTATCATAAACCACAATGTGTACATAAGACCTTAACTTAATATGGGGTGGTTTACTCGACTCGTAATTTTTAAAATGCGAACTCGACGTTTCGTATGCATCAACTAAGGTCACCGAGACACAGAAGATTAATGGTGTTCCTATTTTCAAAATAAATTAACGTTTTAAACCGTTAAGTGTTATAACCTACATTTTAGAAACAATTTATATACTTTTCAATATCGTTAGCCGCCGTGATCATGGGGAGACTAAAGGTGGAGGGTATCTCCAATATCGAAATAAAACTGGCTTGAGCAGCCAGTTCGCCAAATACCAACTACGACGGAAGAGATGGTGCTAGCTTAGCAGATTTTACTTTGACATTAGAGACACCCTTCTTTATCCATCTTGTATTGTCCTAATACATTCTTTTTACAGCTTCACAAAATAGAATCCGGTGAATTAACGATGAACACATTCGTCGGAGTACGGTTGGCTGAAGATCTCGCTTCCGCGTGTACGAATACGCAACACTTATACGGAGCTGATATTCTTGTGGCGGAAGGAATATTGTTGGAACTTATACAGTATGAGTTGAAGCAAGCCGGATTGAACCTTACGCACAGTCAAGATAAGGACTATGTTCGCGTGAGTTTTTATGAAACCAAACTGTTTTGTGATATGTGATATAGTAAAAGAGATGTAAATAAACATCTAGGTAAAATTAAAGACATTCTTTCAATTACAGGACAGATTATGTACTGTGTTCGTTTTAATGATAGGAGTTCGATTTCCTGAAGTGAACTTATTTACTTACTAAATGTTTTCTACCTTACCAAAACAAATTTTCGTCGAATCCGAGAGCTCCGAAAAAAAGGCCTTGTTATATAACTTATCAAGTATTGTCTGTAGTTTACGCGAGTAGTACGCGTCTTAGTAAAACCCTTTACACGGTTTTAACGCAAAATATATTAGTATCTTCTTTTAAATTTTTTAACTTCGGCCCGATGTTACGGATGCTTTGCTATAGTTACGGAGGAGACTGTAGATGAAGGGCGTTCCTAATATCAAAGTCAAATATTTTTTAATCGAACGTCCTATAATGAGAGAATGTCTTAGTATTTAATATGTATCGATGGTCTAATAAGTAAATTATTATTGTTATTATAATTAGCAGTACAATATGAATACCTATATTATTTCAGAACATAATCAAATCTTCAAACACGATTCTAACCTCGAAATACCAAAAAGAATGGACACGCATTCGGCAGTTAACGGGCAGAGGTGTCGAACACGTGGTTCAAAAATTCGACAAATACATTTCCGTGCTGGCTGAGAGTCAACACGACACTTACACTAGTCCTTTTGAAATTGTCACCTCTGATTTAGGTAAGACTTCTATATCTACCTTTCAACATGGATTAACTAAATTTATTAGAATACCTCTTTTTATATATATATATTTTGTTCTTGTAGTGATCGGCGTTGATATCGTAACAGCAGAGTCTATTTACGGCTTCGAACCGACACAACTTAGTCGTTTCAACATAGACAGAGATTCATTCACAACGGAACGAGTCGTTCTTCCCGATACATCTTCATTCGTTCACTCACCCATACAAACAGTCGGCTATTATGGGATCAATAAGTCCAAAAGCAAGAAACCGTCCAGTCCAACGGTTTCTTTCCCGAAGTACAACAACTATGTGAAGAATAAGAATAAGTTTGATCAATTCTCGAGGGTCCTACTGCCTTTGGATTTGATTGGGATCAATAATGTTCAGGGTATGTACAAAATCCCCTTATATGTTATTTTATACGTAATATATTTTGTATAATTCATATTTTTTTTTACTATGAATGTATGAAAAGCTTTTATGCACGACCAATGATCTAATCTTAAACAATAATATTTACATTCATTATAAATCAATGGTAACTAACTTACTAGTATATTATATCTTTTAATATTTGTTACTAATTCTAATAGTATAGCAATACAGTAAAACTAGACAAGACGTTAAATTTATATCTATATTATATTCTAAATTATAGAAATATATTGTTAATAAACTTTTGTGGCCATTTTAATTAAGAATTGACGTTTCGCCATAACCTAAAATCGCGCGATATTTATTTTTTACTGTCTAAAAATGGAAATGGAAAATGGGTTATGCTAAGACTAAAAGCCCACAGATGTGCCCCTGACACTATTAGGAAGCTTTGGTGTGGTCTTTTTAAAACCCAGAACAAAGAATTTCATTATATCTGTTTTTATTTCCACAGATAACCTAGACACGATCTACGAATCACGCGCAGTTTTCTCATATCTCCAATATTCGAGAAACACGTCTCAACTGATGCCTCTACATCTGGACGAGTCTGTTAGCCGTCGGTGGGGCGTTAACATTACCATCGGATCTCCGATCCTGCAAGTGTCCTTATTTGTTCCTGAATATGTCTGGACGAAGGAAGCTAAAGATAGTGACGACAATACAGACAATACTATGGAGGATTTCGATGGTATGTAAATATAGACTTCCAACTAACCAGACCATATTAAAAGTTCGTATATCAATTATTGTTTTAAATCTCGATTTACAGAAATGCCTGGAAGAAATCCAAAATTGTTAAGTTACAACAATTTTGGATTTCTTACAGGCAATTCTACTAGACAATGAACTACTAAAAGAATAAAGTATCATAAATATTTATATAATTAAAGCGATGTTTGTTTGGATTTTAATTATGTTCCTACTTTATAATTAGTTTAACAAATGTATTAACTTATTCACAAACAATATTAAATAGGGTCCGACGTTTCGAATGCTTGTAAAAATAAGTAATACATTTCGTCTTTTAAACCGTTAAATGTTTTATTTAAATATGTATTCTTTGTCTGAAACACAGACAATACTTAGTGTTCTTATTTATTACCCATAGGTGTCGCTTATATAAACAAAGGAAACTCACATCAAACGCAAAACAACGGAGACCACAAAAATCCATGGAACCAAAACGACAACTCCATCCAGGACCATGGACCGATTGTTATCCAACCGACCTTTAAAAAACAAGACAAAGCATACATAACTGACAATTTACAAGAGAACGAATCGAGTTTTGTAGCCGAGAAGTTAGAACCTCAAGCGCTGGCCCTAACTCTAGAACAGAAAGAAGGGAACGTAACTAAGGATTTTAGCAAGAAGTTGGTGTATAAAAGTTTGAACGGTATAAGGCTGAAGAAGCCGATTCGGCTGCAAATATGGCTCGATATAAACAGAGAGACTTTTGGGTCTAGAACTAACCCGCAGTGTGTGCATTGGTCGACTTTGAGAGGGTAAGTTAGTTGTTATTTGTAAACTAATACTAAAATGATAATGTTTTTGTACGAGTGATCCCAAACTAGGCATTGCCTGTCTTATGAGAACCACTTTGAATCCGTCTTAACTATAGGATAGACTAGTTATAATAGATAAGTTAATTTTGTAATACAAACTCTACGTTGTAGTTCCACTTACCACTCCTCCATGACGGTAGGTGCTGTTACGTTGTTTCTTGTTTAAATTTTTAAACTGTCCCCACATAGGATTATTTTTGGGTTGGTGAACACATTTTCGTATCCATTTGTGATACTATGTTATAACTAGCTAAATTGTATTTACTCCGTTGCTTTTTCACTTATTTCATAAAAACAGTAGAAACATGTGCTAAAATGTGTTGTTCTATATCTTACTTACAGAACTGCTCGCAATGAAAATAATTAACTTAAACAATTTTCTTTATCGCATAAATGTATTTATAACATATTTGCTCGTAAAGTGGTTTTAATTACACCAATTTCAATATCGTAATGTATCTCATTACGTACTTGTGCGATAATGTAATGTAAAAGGCACGTGTTTTTTTTAATAAAGTTTTAAGATACTCCGTCTAAAAATGAACGATACTTTTAAAAATCTTAGCAAAGAGGTTTTATGTCAAGAAAGTGGTCAATATTTTATGAGTAAAATTAACTTTGGGAAATAAAATATAACATTTAATTCTTTAATTTAATTAATGTTGAGAATAAATTACAACCATTTATCTATAACAAAAACACAAAAATATTATTTTCTTTAGTAGTAATACTGGCTGTTTTTGCATCTTTGCCTTTGCCTAAAAAAAATTGATGCGTGCGCATCGCATATTTGTGGACAAGTAAAAATAATTCCGCGCACTTTTTCTTTTCGCTGTATTGTTTTTATTTGAAAATGTCGTCATTTCCTCGTAAATATCGTAATAAATTCGTCGTATGACATACGTGCGCTTTGAAAATTACAGCCTCTGCTTTCTTATAGCCAACTTACCGCACTTATATCATAATGTATTATTACCATCGCTTGTGCCGATCCGAATTCTATTTATTATGTTTCATAAAAACACCAAAAGCAAGCTACTATCATAGTGCTTTATATGTACAATATTCAATTAGATCTGGGGAATGGTCCCGAGTCGGCTGTCACACTGAAATAGATTACAACTGGTCTCCATATTCCGCCGAACCACTGCTCATCAACTGCACGTGCAACCATCTCTCTACATTTGCCGTTCTGGTGGACGAAGTTGATATTGAGGTATGTTCTTCAGATCTCTAAATACTTGAGAGTAAATACTGTAACATAAAACACTTTAACTGTCACGGTCACAGGGAGACTGTTCTCCTGTGCCACGGCTGCTGCAAAGCAACCGAAACGTCGGCGAAGTTAAAAATCATTTTCGAAAAAGTTTAACGAAGATATCGTTTTACCGTTAGTGTTTTATTTATACTTGCCAGTGATCATAGAGAGTAGTGGAATAAATAAAAGCTAGATATTTTAAAATACTGCAACTGATAATTTTTATTTTATTCTCAGTATCAATAAATATAACATAATGTATTTTCCTATAAATGCAAAAAAAAAATACTTTTTTTTACTAGCATAAAATATTCGAAATAAATCTCATTTCGGTCGAAGATAAATTACGTACTAGTTTCAAAGAAATCTTATTTTCTCAACAGTTCATACCAGAACCGTCTCTACTGGAATCTGTGACGTCATACACGGGCTTCAGCATCTCCCTCCCACTCCTCCTATGCACATGGGCTGCGTTGTCGCTCATGCGAGGCGGTGCGGCCACAGTGTCTAACTCCATTCACAAACATCTCATATTCTGTGTGTTTATGGCGGAGCTGCTGTATTTAATAGCTTTGAAGGCTAGAAACTCCTTGGTACAGAATGAGGTAAGTAAAAAATCCAGAGCTAAACCAAACAACATACCAGATTTTGGTTTCAAGACATTTTTCTGTGTCTTTATTTAATTATTTGTAATGAAAACTTCGCTAGACCAAGAAAAGTGGTAAAAACCAGATTAATTGACAGAGTATCTTGGAAAAATAAGAAAAACAATTGACAGAAGTCCATGATTTCCAGCATCTATTCTCAAAATGACTTTGTAGTTTTATATAAGCTTTTATATTTATTATGATATATATATTATATATTAGAGAAATTGTTACAGAGATTCTTTTTCATTGCTAAAATAAGTCGCAATGCCGTGAGGTTGATAGATTCGCATTTCGATTTCAATCCGTGGATATCCAAATAAAAAAAAGTCGCCATCGCATCTTGTTTAGATTTTCTATAACTGGGTCATTTTAAATTGCAACAAGTAAGGCTGTGAAAGTCTTCTTAATAGAACGAGATTATCTTCTTACGCTTCGTATATAATTTATTAAATTTTTACAGTTCGCCTGCAAAGTAATAGCAATGTCCCTCCACTATTGGTGGGTATCTGCGCTGGCTTGGAGCGCGTGCGACGCGTGGCAAGTCCGTCGTCTTGTACGCGAAGTGCGTGACGTAAACCACGGACCGATTGCCGCACATCTTGCTGTTGCGTACGCGGCACCCGCTGTTGCTTTGGCACTGGCGGCTGCCCATCACCAGCAGCAATATGGGAATTCATTATTGTAAGTATAAGCACCTGGACTGATGAATGGTGGTAAAATTTTGTCGTTCACTTTTATTGGGTCTCTATATTATATTACTAACTGTTATTTTATAAGAATCACGCTATGTCAACTTATCTTTTTTATTTGGTACAACCTACAATCAAAATTAAAATGAAACGTCTCACTTAAGACTTGGCTCTCCTTTATCATCTCCTTTGTCATCATACCTTGTAAAAGACATATAATGTGTTTAAGCTACAAAACCTTCTGATAGGAATAAGATTTGTAATAAAAATTCAGTGAATAATCGCCATGCGTTTTTTTTTTAATAAAAAATATACATTTATGTTAATGTTTTAAAATATAAATTTAATGCACATAAATCAATAAACCACATTGTACATTAATACTTTTCTTTATATGCAGCTGCTGGGTTAGCTGCCATGAAGCGGTGGTGTGGTGGGTGGTGATACCAGCGGGGGCATATGCATTGGCAGCTGTTGTCTTGCTAGCGGGCGCTACGCGAGCTGCTTTCACTGTTAGAGACCACGTCATCGGGTTTGGAAACTTGCGGTAAGTTATAACTCGAGTTAATTCCATTTGAATATCTTTGAGTAAACATGACATGCTGTTTCCCCCCTAAAGTCAGGCAACAACCCAAATTGGGTGAGTTTCAATAGATTGTAAATAAATACTGTCTGAAGTTTACACTAGTGTACAAATAATACACTTTAGCGACTTTACAGGCCGTCGGTTCGTATGCTTAACAGCAGCCGTGGTCATGGGGGTTTTTATTTAAATAGATTGCATTTACAAACTTTTCTACAACTGTTCAATTACCTAATATTTGTGGTTGGTACCTAACTTTTATTGTGCTACCGTAAAGATAAATCTTGACTTGATCAATCAAAAATTATGTATACTTGATAGAGATATTTTCTTGACAGAATGCTGCTAGCAGTCAGTATAGTCTGCTTGCCACTAGTCTGTCTGGCTTGGGCGAGTGGACTCATCCTGGGGAGTGAAGCAGGGGACAGACGGAATATCCTCAGCTCTTTATTGGCAGGAGCAGTTGCTTTGCACGCGGCTGCAGCATCTTTGGGTTATATCGCCTTCAATATACGAGTGCGGGATAATCTCAAAAGGTAACCCTATACTCCATTTTGTCGTACTCTTTTTGAAGATTGAAAATAATATGGGAAAGAGGAATACGACAGCATTTGTTTTTAAGGCCGACAATAGATAATATGCATAGATTTTGTGTGCCTTACACACAGTTTGTTTTAAGTGCAGCGGTACAGCTATACTGAACACCATTCATGCCAGTTTTAAGTGCTGCTTGCTCTAATTTTGGAATCAGACACGGAAATGTGTCTGCTTGTTACTTTACGTATATACGGCTTAAATATGTTTCTTTAATTAGTAATATTCTTTTTAGAACTGTTCTGAGATGTCTGGGAAAGAAGGTGCCACTAGCTGATACATCCGTTATCATCAGCACCAGTGCGCAGAACTTGTCACAAACGAATAGGTAACAAACGTTTATCTACTTTTGGGGCATAGGTCATGTAATTTGCAATTATATCATTCTCATTAATTTTTCTTCTTCTTCCAAGGTTTACTAACTAGCTTTTAATCTATAATTATGGAGCTAAAATATAGATACCATAAACCAATTCTCAGTATCTATCTTTGTCGTTTTCTGTCTCTAAAGGTATTTTTATTTATTAGGTCGTCGTTAGCATACCACAGTGGAACTGAGGGAAGGCAACTGCGGAACATTGGTATTTCGGCGTCGTCTACTACAAGCAGATCTACTACCAAGACTGGTTCTAGTCCTTATAGGTGTGTAATTATTGTTAAAAATACAATCATAACATCGTGAAAATATTTGCACGCACAATTTAAAGTAATTTTTTTTCTACCCTCCAGTATAAAAAAAAATATATTTTAAAATACAAAATAGAAACTTTTAAGTGACATGTTGTCTTTTAGACAAATGTAATCCCTTTACTAAAGTAAATAACGATTACGATACATAAAGAAATATCTAGATTAAATTCAAACACTAATAATATGTTTTTAGGAGCGATGGGCAACTCCGACATACCAGCACATCAACATCTAACTACAACACTAGTGCTAGTGACATGCCAGGTTATCTAAGAGGATTTGACTCGTCGCTGCACACCCGGAAAGACGGTAAACATAAAAAACCTTTAGAAGTCTGTTTTGCTATTTCATCTCTACATTTACCATAAGTTTTTTTTTCTAGCTTAACGACAACCCAAGAAATAATTATTTTTTGTGTCAAAACATCAGCTAGGAAATACGTATAAGAAATGATAACTGAGGGTATAAATATATTTAAAAAAAATAATTTACCTTCGTTGGTATACAGCTTTACTATATCTCAAGCTATAAGCATGCACCGACTTACTGATGAAATCCCCTCTTGTCCTTTCTTTGCGTGTTATCCACAAGCTGCAGGATGGGATCGACATTTTTACGTGCAGCTTGGGTGAATTGACAAAAACATCACTCCATGAAATATGTACTAAATAATTCTATCGCAATGGATATTGTTCTGTAATGTTAGAATATGTTTATAATGAAAACAAATGAAAAAATTAAACCATTTCAAATGAAAAAATAGATGAACGTCGCCGTCGCCGTAAAAACGCGACCGATGGTGAAACAACAGGAGAAACCAATGGTGACGGAACAGAAGCGACTGATAGTGAGAGTGAAGGCAGCGCAAGGAGCCTGGATCTCGCATCCAGCCACTCTTCTGATGATGATGAGACGAGCACCAGGCGTTCTGATCATCCGCCATCCGCTTCTCGTGAGTACATAATTAACTCTCCCTTTTTAATTAAATATTTCCAACAATTTCAATCGTATTGAGTCCTATCTAATCTACTTGCTTTTACTTCTATTCGATATCCTAAAAAACTAAAACACATACGTGATATACAAAATTGAGATTATACCATTTTTTATAATACCAGGAGATCGTGGTAGCAGTACAGGCGGCAGCTATTTACCAAACATCACTGAAGGCGCACCTTTAGGTATACCTCCAAGATGGCCACCGCATGTAAGGGGAGGTGAGACCTTATTATATATACACTATACGTATAATGGTATTGTTCATAAACGCCTTAGCAAAATCAGACCGCGCTTTGGCATATGGACCGTTTCATCTCTTTACAAGACTTAAACATAAGGTAAAACTTTAACAGAATCAAATCGGCCTGAAGGTCGCTGGTCCCAGGAAACCGGATCAGATGAACAGGCGGCGACCCCCTCCCCCAACCCGCTACCAAACCCAGATCTTACGTCTGATGTTTACCAGCTGAGCCGACATCGCCTTAAACCCTCCATATTAGAGAATGTACACGATACTTATGTGGCTACGGTGGATGCATCTAGACTGCCATTGGATAATAGGTAAGTTATTTGAAAAGGTGTAAAACTCCATTGTTCAATCAAAAACAAAAGTGGAAATAAAAAAATAAAGGTGATGAGCTGATCTCTTTAATATTGTTATACCATTTATCTGTAATTATTTAAATAACAAAGATTAAAGACTATAAATTAAAGTGAAATTGTTGATTGTACCCCAGATACGGTGTAATGGACGACGAGCTGATATATGGAGTGCACACAGAAACAGACAAACAAATGCCTTACGACCCAACTTACCCCATTTCCCCCACAATGTACAGACTACCCACAAATCCATACGGATCAAAGACTTACCTCTCCTCACGAACGTCAGACTATGGCTATAGTCCCACTAAATACCTAAATACAGACACGAGTGTCTACGGCTCGCGTGACTTTCGGGATTCTGGAGTCACAGCGAGGGAACATGATGGCTACCCGCCAAGAGATTTCCGCGATTCGGGAATAGCCACAATGCTCAAAAACGATTATCAGCGAAAAATGGAAGGACATTATGGGGAATACACGGATAGGATGTCCGATGGCTCGGACAAACACCATCCCCACGATAAATACCATTTTCCGTATACAGGTAAGAATTTAAAAAAATGTTCTCATTTTTTTTAATGCTTTGTTATATCCGCTGTTTTTCATATGTATGTGTCTATCACAGAAGTAATTGTCCACAATGCCCAACTTTTTAGTAGAATTTGTGCTTTCTCTATTCTACATGAATTGTAGAAACTTAATGAATTATAGTTGCACTGCTGTTAAGGGAAGTCCTATAGACAAGTCGTAATTGTCTAAAATGGCCAATTTAATTGTTATCTATTGTTTATTTACTATAGTATACTTTATTGATAGAAACATTCGTTTGATGAATAATTATAAGCTTCATATTTCACCACTAAAGATTATATTCACTGTGTGTGTTTTTTTTGTTTTAATAAGTTACATTTATGGCACAAGAGATTTTCTATAGACTGAGGTATACCTAGTTTAGGTGAGGTATGCTGTCTCTTTTTATCCTAATGCAAAACCAAATATGTTTGAAAGAGACACAATGCCTTAAAAATTATCTTCTATAAGTCTAACTCTCTTGTGTGATAAAAAGGTTTTGATGGATTTTCGCTTTGCTTTAGCTGAGGAGGACCATATTAACATGCGTGGTGTGATGCACTCGACCCAAGCGCCTAGTAGTGATAGTAATGCAGGTAATTTCAAGGCTTTTTTTTTATTTTGGCGCCACTTTTTATTCAAAAAATAATCTCTAAACGTTCTACGTCTCGACGTCCCCCTTTTTTGTAGTATTTATGTTTGTAGTGGCATTTAAAACTCCTCTCGCACCAACAACCTCGATCTCTTTGACACAGATTACTCCATAACTAGGTTATGAATATTCTAGAATGTTTTTCTTAATCTGATAATTATTGAATTTTAGCTGACAGTCACCAACAAATAAGTGCACCCCTGGCGAGTATGGGAGAAACAAGCGAGTGAGTGACTTGTGAAACTAAGCATGTTCTCATAGGTTAAGTACACCATAGATAAGATTCAAAAAGGACATTAGTATGGCAACTTTAAATTATCTATGACTAAAGCATGATAATAATTATTGACACTAACATTAAAGTTAAAGTTTCCATTTTATCACTGGTCACATTTTTTTAAACTGTCAGAAGCATATTAATATTCTAATTAACACTTTTTAACAGAAACCTTTTTTACTGATCAAGATACTAAAATTGAGTAAGTTACAATGAAGGAGTTTTATAAATTCAAAAGAAAATTTTAACTTCATTGTATCTTAAAACATTATAGAATATAATGTAAAATTGTCAATAGATGGTGGCGGTTATATGAGAAACACTCATTATAAATTCATCTTTTGCTTTGCTTACTGGTGGTGTTGCCGTACGCAAAATCATCTTTATTCATCATAGGGAGGAGGTAATAAATTTTTTATCTGCATGGATCTATAAAGTAGAGAACTCTGTAATATTGTACCGAAAAATACTTTTTGGTTGGTAAATGTCACACTTTGCTTTTTTAGTAATTATTAACTAATATGACTATTATAATGTTATCATATTTTTAATCTATAACATTATAAACAACGACAGAGGGCCATTATTTTGTAAACACCTTCATGATTTAAATAAAACACTTTAACGGTTTAAAACTCGATATATTAGGTAAACTTATTTGAAAATGATTTTTAACTTCGGCCCGACGTTTCGCTTTGCAGCACCCATGGTCACGAGGAGACGCGTCACGAGGGGCGTACGAAACGTCGGGTGGAAATAAAAATCATTTTCAAATAAGTTTAATTAATATATCGCGTTTTAAACCGTTAGAGTATTTTATGTAAATGTGTACCTACTACTCGCGTAAACTATAAACGGTATTTATGTAACCTTCATGATTCTTATTGATGGTGTTACCATGTCAAATTATAATTGTTATACAATTTTTGCAGGAAATCTACTACTGAAGACGACGCTGAAACAAGAGTATAAACAAGATGGTACAAGATTTCCAATGAATCTCAATTAAATTAGTAATTTATTTTAATGTGAATATTTATCGCGAAGGTTAAACAGAAGAATATAATTAATATGAAGAAATATGAAATGAATTTTATGGTAAATATCTTCTGGTTAGTCTTCAATGATAAGATATGTTAGTTATTATTTCTGTAAAGACTGTCTCAGGAATCCATAGATACTGCCATAGTGTATTTTTAGGTTAAGTTTATTACTCTATTCTTTAATAGACAAAATAACTTCTTGTTAGAACAAGAAACGAAATTGATATAGTTTATTGAGCTCTAGGAAGTGGAAAAAAATATAAAAAAATACAATAAATAGCATCCAAAGTCATGTGTAGTGTAAATAAAATTATTAAATAGAGCTATTAATAAAATGTATAAATAAGATATTTTTGTATAAGACACCAAATGATAGATTATGTAAAAGTCTAGTTTTGCTTAGAAATTTTTAGTACTCAGTCTGTTCAGCTTAGGTCTTGAATTAATCGGTTTTTGCAATATTTCCAGTGTAAATAAAAATAAGCGTGTTGTGTGCATTTTTGACGATTTACGAAGAATCCACCTATTTTGTAAATACTTAGATTTTACACATTGCATTGTAGAATATTAAGTAGGGAATTATTGAAAAGCTTTATTTATGTAGTATAAATAATTTGCCATAATAGCCGAGTGTAGGATAATAGAAGTATCATAATTCAAGAAACGCTAATTTATTGCATATTGCTGTAAGAAAAACTCAATATTAACTTTTGATTAGTTTTAAAAGTACAGTTTTACGAGATTGAAAATTTAGGCTTAAATATTATTTATTTGTTGATATGGTCAAAACGTACCTGTTGACGAAATTGTGTTGCTACGCTCGAATTTTGCTAAGTTGCAAAAATATTGCAAATTTAGATATAATGTTTGCCTCATGTTCAATTTTTTACAATCCCTTTTCGTAAGCTTTAAAATATTATGTACACCTTGTATCAGGAATTGTTTTTATAAATACACATTCCATTTTTGTAAAAGAAATGAATAATAAAATTGCGTTTCGTTTCATTTTGTTCCTGAGATACCTGTTTTTGGCCCTAAATATTGCCATATTTTATTATTTATTTACCTACTTATTTTTTAAGTCTGCTTTTTCTGAGGCAGGTGACTAAATTACTCTACATAAAGTCATTCTTTTTTTACTTAATTATAAATTCTACATGTTACATTTTCTACCTACCCCCGTATCTACTACAAAAATGTCTGTACAAAAACGTACATTACCCTTAGTGAACGTTGCGTTGGATTTTATATTTATTATTGTATTAAAGTATTATTTGTTTTAAAAGTCGTGAAACCATTAGTGAAATTATAATTACTTTCGGTGTAAGTGGCTTTTTTTTTAATAAGTCACATCACTACAATATAACGATTTTTTTAAATTAGTTAAAATATCGATAACGATAACGAACCTCGAACCAACTAGTGCACCAGGATTTGAAAGTTTTTAATATTTTGGGAAATGTATCGGATCTAGTTCATAGTAAGGCACTGATATGAATCAGTACAAACAAAGCAGTAACAAAACCAATTTTCATTTGTTTTTAAGAGACATTATTAATATGATTATAATAATAAATAAAATCATACTTTCCATTTTTCTCTAACTTCTGTTCCTGGCCCACAAGTACTAACTAACTACTGCTAAGGTAAATAAGGTGCGAGCCATTGATTTGAACCTCCAATTATTACCACTTTCCCTACTCAAGACAAACATACATACATGAAATAATAAGAAATGAAACACTTAACTTTTAGCTATTTATTCATCAACATACATAATATCTACATTTGCACAAATATGTGTAACTCGGAAACATCAGTAAATAGTTCTTCGACTGATATTAATACTTTCGTTTTATACTCAATTTGAGCTTCGTAAGATGTCCTTATAGTACGGTATTCGTGACACCCATTTGTGAATATTTTACAATAAATTAGTGTGTAGAATACGAGAAAGCAAACTAATATTTACAATAAATATTGGGAGTAATAAAAGATTATTAGTAAATGTTTTAGGATCCCACAAAGTAGAGGACCTTGACAAAAAAATTTCAATGTAATTGTAGCATCGGCAAAAAAGTTGCCGCAGCTGTAGTTATCTCTCATGTATTATTTATATACAGACTATACCAATCAAAGCATTCAGTTGAAAGAGTTCATGGAATGTTTATAAGCCTCAAAATGATTAGATACAAGTGTTTGTGCTTTAATTTACAAATAGTGAATGATTTTCGAAAAAATAATGTTTACATTGTAAAACCACCATATATCTAGTCATTTTAATGTAGCACTGTGGTTAACATCTATTTGATATAAAGTTGTCTAGAAACACTCCATTACAGTAGTCACCTTTGCCGATGTCAGGCCTTAGCAAACCAATTTGTTCATAAGTCTGCAATAAGGATATATTCTGATTAATCTCAGCTAAGACCAAACAATGGGCAAACTGCGATCGCAAAGATTAAAAATTAAATACATTAAAAGTTTCACATCAACAGAATATTATTAGAAGTCCAACACTTATTATAATTCAAGCTTAAGTTGCTCCTTATAAATAAAATAGCACTGTAGAGTAGGTGTCTGCTTGTGGTACGTCTATAGAGTCCCAGTGCTTTGTACACTGAAAAAGGTTATAAAAACAATGAAAATCGGTGTGATCTTAAGTTTCTTATGTTATTTAATTTAAACAATAGTAAGATAACTTTAAAATGGGTTTCAATTGTAAGTTAAAGTGCAAAGATTCTTGTAATATACAACTTGAAGTATAGAAAAAATTTCAGAAAAATATACTTACACATAATTAAATGTCTTCTTTTCAAATTACTGGTTACCCATTTTGACCTTTGACGTCATGTAAATACCGACGATAAGACCGAAAAGACCAATAGCTGATCCGAAAATCTCAACAATGAGGATCTTCACAAACAGTGCTGCATTGGCTGCATCAGCTAAGGCCGCTCCTGAGCCCACAATACCAACGGCGATACCACAGAATAAATTCACCAGACCAACAGCTAGCCCAGCACCGAACATCACATATCCAGCCATCCAGTTCTGTTGTTTGATGTTTACGTCGACGAGGGGTTCCGTGTATTTCTCTAACATTCCAGATAACACGATGGCAGTAATCAGTCCATAGATAGCGACGGCTTCGCAGAAAATAACGGAGATCAAATTTTTGGTCTTGATCCTTGGGGCTTTGACACCTCCTCCGACTATGCTCACTCCGGTTGTGTGGATACCCATCGCCGCGCCAACCACAGAGAACGCCACGGCAAAAGCGATCCCTAGAGTTGCCCACATGTAAGGGGATGTGTTTTCCAGGAACCATCCAAAACTTATTTGCTCACCCTTTCCATTGAGGAGGTAGTACATAGAAAATATCGGTATGACGATCGCCACCAGCAGCACAAACAGGTAAGTAAGGAAGTACCTCATTTTGAGATATTTTTATGGTCAATTGGAGTTTCTGAACCTAAGAATCCCGGACGGGACGGCCTTTTTTTCTCCAAGATCCTACCTTGACAGAACACTCAAAACGGAGAAGTCTTGTGATCACAAGATGTCAGAGACAAATCAAAAATTGCTAGTAGTGAAAAATATGTATATATTTTTTTCAATTAGTTTTGTCGAATATCATAAAAAAAAATAACAGCCATTCCTAGAAAATCTTTTTAAAAAATTATACATATTATATTAATACTGATTCGCTCTCATATTTTTTTGTTGTAACGTGTTATTTATTTAGGAAATTGATTTAGAACGTCACGCACACCGTAGACAAAACAATCGAACAGCTGAAACATCAATCGATTAATTTTTAATCTGTAAACTATACTTCAAAAATCAAGAATGTTTTATTCTACTTGTACTTAAACATTTTAGATTGTTTATCTTAAGGTTTAAAACATTAATATGTAACATTTAAAACAAAGTATTAGCCGGCTGCTTGGTTATTCATATTGTTAAAGATAGAATTAAGCGACTAATGTGTGTTTTAGTGTTCAAGCCTAATGAGGAGCTTAAAAATCGCCGTAGCTTTATTTGTCAATAGTGCAGCTATACACCACAAGTGCAGTCGCAAAATGTGAGAACAATGAACACCTTTATATGTAAATAACTAATAAATGCTAGTTATCAGATGGGTGAAATCCGAAGCAAGATGAAGTAAGCCAATATGAAGCCAAGAATATCAAGGTTTAAAAATGATGTCTGCTTACGCCAGGTTCATAGTTCGTCATTCCTATTTAATTATTTTTTGCGTAGCTACAGTTTCCACAATATTGACAATTATACCACTTATTTGTCACACGCTGCCCTCTTTTGCCGACCCAATCATTGGATTCGAAACGCGAGGCACAGCTTTAGCAAACCGTTTTATTGCTTGGGATAATCTTATTGATGATACGAGACCATCGCGCAGACTAGCCGTCAACCCTAAAGAAATAGAAGATCAAATCCGTATGAATCATACATATACAAACAGAGTGGTGAAAGAAAAGTCAAGATTGAACCATGGCCATAAAAAAAGGACACAAAAAGAAGGCCAAATCACACAATAACACTGCCTTTGCCAAAACATTTTATAAATCACCTGACATCAACATTTCTATGAACCATGTCCATTGGAGTTACGGAAAGAATATCTCTTATGAAGATGAAGATACAGCATTCAGTCGGAATCATACTTGGAAGCAGTGGAAATCATTAAAAGAAATGCAGCTGTCCCCAATTGATTATAAACATCATAATTATGCATCAGGTGTATGTGGAGCACCTATGGCAGACTATGCGCATTTAGTTGTTGCAACCACAGATGGAACCTCTTTACTAACATTTGAAAATATACAAAAAGTGTGTAAACTGCAAAGTAGCCTCATTCAACTGGGAGGGAATGTTTATTTTAATCTGTGCCAACGATCAACAAAATCTGAAGCTCTATGTTGTCCTATATGGAGCATTCCAAATTACATTGCACTAATATCTGGCAAGAATTCCTGCGAGAATGTCACCAAAGAAGATGTGGATGCCACTGTTGATATTATTAAAAAATGTGCTACATTCTTCCATAATTTTACTTTAATGGCTTCATGTGAAATGAACCGCTGTAAGGTGCCAAAATACTGTACTCAGTATGATGCTGTATATAATTTATTATTCTATATTCTAGATTCAGATGCATTTTCTCCAAAAAATTTTACAAATACTTTTGTAAGAAATACTATGGTATTCTTGCCATTGCCTAGTAGTAGTACTATATTGCCATATTATGATAATTTACAGAACTCAAACTTATCATGTGGTGATCTTGTTATACCAGCTATGGATTTTGGGTTGAGAAATGCCCTATTTGATTTGTGGATTATTCAGGATACTTGGCTTATTGCGTTGGGAGGCCTCTTTGTTCTCATCGGAGTATGTATTTATACAAAGTCATTATTGTTAACAGTATTGTTATTTATAGCTATAGCGTACTCTCTTGGCGTAGCTTACTTTTTATATGTTTATGTCTTCTTTTTGGAATTTTTTCCCTTTATGAATTTATTAGTCGTAGTAGTTGTGATAGGTATAGGAGCTGATGATGCATTTATTTATGTAAAAGTTTGGACAATGATTAGTAAGAGACTCATTAAAGATAATATTATAATCCAGGAAAATGGATATACAGATATAAAAAACGTATCTAGCGCCGGTGAGACGATTTTAGTCCAAATTCTTGAAGAAACATTAAAGCATACAGTATTAGCAATTTTTATAACAACATTAACGACGGCTGTCGCATTTTTTGCTTCTTATGTTAGCTATATACCAGCCATTAATTGTTTTAGTGTATTCGCTGGCACCACAGTCTTGGTTAATTTCTTTCTCATGATGACTTGGTTGCCAGCTTCAGTATTTATTCTTGATGTTAAACTGTTTGTGTCTAAGTATGTGTTTTTAGGTGCATTTAGGAGGGTACTGAATGAAATTGGAGGGGATATCAAAGTTGTATTAAATAGATTTATCACAAGTTGTATCATGAGATTACACGTAGGTTTAGCAATGATTCTTGGTGCTGTAGGTATTTGTAGTATTGTCATCGTTTTCTATTATCCAGGTCTCCAATTACCTGACACGAAGCAATTCCAACTTTTTCAGTCTTCACATCCCTTCGAGAAGTATGATTTTGTGTATAGTGATAGATTCATATTCGAGAAATTTGGTCGAGACATTGGTAGCGGTGTGAAGATGCCACTTCGTTGGATTTGGGGTGTGAAAGCTATTGATAATGGGAATCACATGGACCCTTCTTCCAGAGGCAAGTTGATTTTCGACGAAGACTTTAGTATATCTAAGCCAGAATCTCAAGAGTGGTTGTCGAAGTTCTGTAGGAATTTAAAAAGTCAGGCATTCTACCAGCCGACCCTGGGTCCCCTTTTACCGAATTGCTTTATCGAAAGCTTTAAAATGTATATGAGTAGACGTTGTTTCGATGTTATAGATAAAATGAATCGTACGCCGTGTTGCGAATCTTCCCGCTTCCCATATTCAAAAGAGATTTTCGACTTTTGTATTATTAAGGCTATGGAGTCCCTCTATCAAACACCGCGGGAGATATTTATTCCTGGTGTGGCCGGACCTAAGTTTCTACGAAGCGCCAATCCTCCTGTTGTTGCCGCGGTGGTTGTAGAGTTCGAAAGCGTTGTGCCCTATTCGATGTCGTATACAGAAATGCATAATTTCTATCAGCAAGTCGAGAATTGGACACAGCATGAGTTACAAAGTGCGCCGCCAGGCATGGCAAACGGTTGGTTTGTTTCTGATCTCCAATTCTACGATTTGCAAAGGACGTTGGCCAGTGGCACTGTTATGGCGCTCCTCTTATCCGCAGCTTTGGGATTTATAGTTTTGATCCCCTCTACATTCAATTTAGTTGTAAGTATTTGTGCATTAGTCGCAATGATCTTTTCCTCAACTGCGACGATAGCAATTTTGGTGTTGAGCGGTTGGAAATTGAATATTCTAGAAAGTGTTTCTATATCAACATCCGCTGGTCTCGCTGTTGATTTTAGCTTACATTATGCTCTTAGCTACACGAATGCTAGTGGAACTAAATCTGCAAGAGTTAAATATGCATTAAGCACGTCTTCCGGACCTACAGCCGCAGCCGCTTTTACTTCTGGTTTAGCTGGTATATTTCTTTTACGCTCGAATCTCCTTCCATATTCCCAAATTGGTATGTTTTTGGCGTTAATCATGTCTATTAGTTGGTTGTATGCAACATTTTTCCTTTGCTCTCTGCTACAAATATTTGGACGCAGTTCGTCTAAAGACATTGTACCCGAAGAGAAGAAGACGGCATCTAGAGTGAGTTCCATTTGTTCCGGCGTACCGAATATAGAGAGTCATGAATTGGAACATTTAGCGGACAGCAATCGAACCAACATCACACACTCGCACAGTCCATCTAATTTAAGCGCAACGACGGTAGTCCTGCACGAAGACTTCGAAAATAAGGCGGGAAAAACTACAGTTAACTTAGTCAACGACTGAAACTTCTAAGTCATGGAACTATGGGATTCTATGTGTCCATGCATAAGTATTATTTTTGTAACTGTAAGTATTATACTGTGAATTATACATTTAGATTTATTTGTTGAGGAAATTATTATATTATTTGTCCTTCAGTATTAGTTTACAAACGTGACAATAACTATCACATAACAGCTCACACATGCGACAATATACATTAATACTCTCATGAGCTTAGCTTAAAACCGTCTTGTGATTTGGAAAATGCACTCTATCCGCAAATTTACAGCTATCTGAACAAGTGATAGTTAGCACTATAAAAACCTAGACTACGTCAATTTCTACAACGTGATTTTGCTCAATTATCTAGTTTACACAACTAGATACAAAGACGACGTAGCACGCAAGTTAACATAGGTATGCGATCTTGTATACTTGTGTAATATTGTACTTAAACAGTTATTCTTCGATGAAGGTTTCGAGTCCAAAAGTTGTACTCGCATTTAAAAAACACATCGTGGCCAACAATCACTGTTCATAATTACTGAATGTATTCAAGCTAAATAAATAAATCTCGATATTGTAATCGAGTCAAAGTTATGGATATTTTTGTACAGCAAAGTGCCACAGTAGAATGTATAGATGTCATAAGTTGTATCGTGTAGAAACTTTCGTTTTTATGAATGATGTATAGTTAATACTGTGTATAGATATAAGATCTATTGTACCTATGAAATTGATGTATTAAATAAATTGACGTAAAATTTTTAACTATGTTTGTTTTTTTAGCAAATGTGATAAGGAATAAAATGTAGACAGAAATGATAACGTTCGAGGTGCTTTTATACAGTCTATCACGTCTTATAAAATAGGACATATAAGGAAATGTTACATTAACATTCGAGGAAGCGAATAATCAAAGTGTAACACAAGAAACAATTAAAAATGACCCAAATAATTTTAACAATAGCAGACGAAACCTTTCTTAGCTGCGGACGACGTATCCATTAACGATTAAATTCTTCAGCAAAAGGCGGTACAAAGAAGCTACATTGCTATGGTAGGTCGTAGTAAATCGCTTAGTGCTCGTATGACTTAAATAGTCCTTGATGAATGCAGCTTGCAAAATCACTGTTACTTTTCCTATTTCTTAAAGTTATGAAAACTAAGTGATACACAGGACGCCTTAGCACATTCGAGAAGAGCAACTCTTACCAACATATCATGGTCGCCGTATTTTCTTTTCCTGTAGAACTTAAAAAACAATTTATTGAATCAATCTACTCTCAAAAAGAACCTTATTGCTTATTGTACTACATATATAGATAGTTGAAGGAAAGGCGCCATTATCTAATTGACTACTAACTAATTAAAATAAGTTACTTTATCATCGCCGAACGTACAACTAAAAAATATGTTATTTGGAAAGTATTAAAACGACAAAATTATATCAAAAGAAAGAAAGAAAGTCAAAAAAAAGAAAGACAAAATTATATCATAATTTTTTTTCATGAATTTATTTTTATTCTGTGTATAATTATTTGCTGATGACATCTGCTCAATGTCAAGTTGACAGTGACATTACATTGAATTTTCACAACAACAATGTTAATTGTTAGATACTGTTGGTGATTCATTAATCTTATTTTTCCGTGTGCTGATTTTGTTTATTGTTACAAATTACAAAATAATATAATGAATTCATTGCCTTAAGCTTTTCAACTACCTATATTCCATTTATACGGGCTATTAGCAAATCTATTTCGATATAAGTGTTATCAGTGCATAAACTAACTCGCAAAAATGTTTTCCACAAATCCTAATTATAGTAAATTGAAAACTCATTTAAGACTATCTATAAATCGGTTGAAGTTGTTAGAGAAGAAAAAAACCGAATTAGCCCAAAAGGCTCGAAAGGAAATAGCAGAATATATAGCTGCTGGAAAAACTGAGCGAGCTAAAATTCGTGTGGAACATATTATACGGTAAGGTTCTTATGACTTTCTAATATATGAAGGGTGTGTATGATGTATATGGTTTCGTAACATGAAATAAAATATGCCTACATGAATTATATTCTATATAAAGAACCATTAACATTCTTCATTTCATGTTACTGCATCATTAAGATGACTCATAACGTTGATCTAGTCTTATTTAAAATGTAATCATTATTTGATTTGTATCCTTAAGCCTAAAGAGTAAAGATACAAACATATTATTTATAAACCTGCATGTCTTGTTATTACTTGTCATTGAAGTTCTTTTTTTTATAAATGTTTCAACTCTTATGTGCTCAGTTACGTGATAAAAAAAACTGATCTGAAACTTTAATTTGTTATACTAGATAATGTTATTATTTTCTATCGGGCACACCTGTGGTAGAACGGGTCATCAGTCCACGCTATCATCGACCGACCATTTCAGCCAAAAGATAATGTTAGTCTGAGGGAATTCATTCTTATGTATCTTTTTTCTAGAGAGGACTACATGGTGGAGGCGATGGAAATAGTTGAAATGTATTGTGACTTGATTCTGGCAAGATTTGGTCTAGTAACCCAGATGAAAGACTTAGATGAAGGCTTGGCTGAAGCTATCTCCAGCTTAATTTGGGTTGCACCCCGAATGCACACTGACGTCCAAGAATTGAAAGTAATATCTGATTTACTGACTGCCAAATATGGTAAAGTGTTTGCAGAAGCATGTCGTAGTGAAAGTGTGAATTCCATAAGTGAGAAGCTTCGACATAAACTATCAGTGCAGAGCCCTCCGAAGATACTTGTCGAGAAGTACCTGATTGAGATTGCTAAGAATTTTAATGTTGACTATACTCCTGATGAACAAGTTATGAGAGAGGATGAGGGTAATTATGATGGTTTTTTTATATTCAAATTATTTGACAAACGTAAACTACTACAACTATATTGTACATTATTATTATTATTTTCTTTCGGGGACACCTGTGGTAGGACGGGTGATCAGTCCACGTTATCAGCTGACCATTTCACCCATTTCCCCATTATATTGTACATTATTATGACAAAATATTCTTGTCTATCATGTAGGATTATTATAGAGTTAATAATATTTTCAATTAGAGACAATGTTAGCATATGAACAGTTTATATTTATCATCAATCACTTTCCTCTTCCCCAAATTTGGATGATGGTTACCCAAATTTTTCCATTGTAATAATTATTAATATATATTTTTTGATCTTGTGCAGGTCGTGATGCATTACTCATTGATGTCAGTGGTCCACCAAACCCACCTGGCTTTATTGGATACCCAATAGCCCCTCCAATACCCCAAATGCCTAATCTACCACCACCAACAGTTACACCTTTCAACTATCCTAATGTAAGTTTTTATACTAGTAATATTGAAAAATATTGAACACCTAAATGAAAAGAATTATCTGGTTTACTCTTTGACAAAATTTACTATTGAACATGAAAATTTACTATTGAAATTTACATGAACAGCAACACAAAAAAATTTAGTTGATAGATCAATCTTTGAAATCACCAATTCCTTCTTCACATCACACGCTTTTATACAATCATTCTAAACTATACTTGATAGAAAATAAAACTTATCCCTAAACTTAAAGTGGTGATTACTTTTGATCAATGGATTTTAAAATGCCATGTTTTCTTATGGGAAACCAATAAAAGGCAGGATGATCAGTCCAAATTATTTGCTGACCATTTCCCCTCTCTGCCTTTGCAGTTGATAAAAAATGCCATATTAATTATTCTCGATTTATTATCTGGTAGAAATACTTTTTACTTGCTATGTTGATTTGACTGTATCTTACGATTTATTACACAGGTGCCATCTGGTGGTAAGGCAGGTGGATTCATAGCGACGCTACCAAACTATGGAGGTCCGAGTAAGCCCATGTCATATAACATACCACCCGGTGTCGACTCGAAAACGTTGGATAACTCCTTTATACAGGTGAGAAATGCATTGCCGATGTTAGGGCTACTGACATCGGTAAGAAATACTGCGGCGATGCTATAAGTCATTAAAAAGTGATATATCTATGTGTGACTGCTCTATCACCAGCCTGCCAGTTAAAATAATATCATGAATGTATATTATTTTAACGCATATAGTAGTTTTAGTATGTATATAGGCCAGTTGTGTATTAAGTTACTTTACAATGTAGTTAGGCTTTACTTGCACGTAAATGCACATAAGTATTTTTTATTAATCTTTTTAATTTATATGTCAACATGCATGGAAAAAAATATAAAAAGATTTTTTTAATCTTTTTTAAATTTTTAAAAAAAAGATTTTGTTTCTTTGACTTACTTGCCTGTTCTCGTGTTCTATTTCAATTTTGGTTTAAAAGTAACTTCTCTTCCTTACAGGAGGAAATGAGCAACCTACCACCTGCTTATGACAGCATTGATCATTCCTTGGTAAAAGTTTTAATAATATTGCTCGAACTAAATGAGAATGACTCTCTTAAAAAAATCATACTAATAATAAATAACTGTTGATGGCATTATTGTTTGTATGAACATTTTTTGTACCACTTAGTATCATCTTAACTTTTATAAGTTAAAGTATAATTTTAACTCACGTTTGTTATGCTTGGACCTTTGCAATTATTCTTGCATGATACTAGATTCTAAGCCCTTTGTACTGTACATTTATTTTTTAAATGTTGTTTCCTCTGAGGTATATATAAGACACAAGTGTTTGTGTTTCTATGAAGAATATTTATAGACAAATACCTGATAGAAACAATTATTGTGTTCCATGATTTCGATCCTGTTGAGTAAAACGCTGTGCACGTTACTAAAGCGATCATTTTATTTATATTGAAATCACTCAGAATAAAGATAAACAATTATTCAGTTGAAACCATATATAGATTTGTTTATGACATAAGAGGGCAGACACGTATGTGATTCACTTGATGGAATGTAAAATATGTTCCAGACCCAGCCTTATAACATTTGAGCAAGATACGCTGTCTACCTATGTTGACATAATACTCAGGAAATCCATAGACTAAAACCGAAACGTGATTACCCTTCAAAATTGTTCATCTGTGGACGGTGGCTCGTGACTCGAACTAAATTTCGTTATTCCTAAATTCAATATCCACTATGGATATCTAGACAAACATGTTTACTGTGTTGTATAAACTCATGTCATATTGTTATTGCAGCCACCCAACCTTCCAAGCCCAAGCAAACCGCAGCCGCCGCAGCCTCAGCCACGTACCAGACCACCTGCGAACTACTTCCCAGAGTTGCCTGAACTACCCTCCGTCCCATCGGATATAATACTACCCTCAGTTCCGCATAGTTCGAACTCAAACGTCTCCAACGAACCAAATGCACCGGACGAGATTGACTTCGAAGATCTGAACAGGCGTTTTGAAGAGTTGAAGAAGAAGAAGTAACCTTTATCAGTAAGCTTTCGATAATCTTTAAAACAGACAGGCCATTGAGATGCCATCGCAAAATTGTATTGTTACAACATGCCAGCTAGTTTAAATAAAACACTAACGATTTTAATCGCGAAATATATTAGTTAAACTTATTTGAAAATTATTTTAATAACAGCCCGACATCAAAGTAAATACTGCTACGCTATCTGTATCTGTTCCGTCGTAGTTAGTATATGGCGAAAATGACCGGGTCCTTGCAAAATTGAATAACATAGAAGTTTTTACTTTGACATTAAAGACACCCTCCATCTCTAGTTTCCCGTTTCCCCATGACCACGGCTGCTGCAAAGCATTCGAAACGTCGGGTTGTAGTTAAAATAATATTCAAATAAGTTTACCTAATATATTTCTCGTTTTAAACCGTTAGTGTTTTAATTAAATGTGCACTCGCGTAAACTATAGACAGTATGTCAGCTAGTAATTATTGGACGTATTAAGGTACATTTGGTATTACGATAATTGGCATATGCAAAGAAAAACTCTAGAGCTCAAATCGCAAAATTTTAAGCTCATTAAATTTAAAGGAATTTTGGTTTTATTGTATGCGAAATATATTCGTATAGCTAACACTTAGAATTTGTAAATGACTGTTACATTATACAAAAACTATATAATGTAACATATAAAAATATATACAGATAGCAGATATAAATTCTATCATAACACAACACAATCCATAATTCCCTTATTCTATTTATTCTTTTTTTACAGTGTTAAGGCTATTTTATTGTAACGAATTGTGATAAGTAACACTACTGATAAATATGTATAAAATTCATTTATTAAATCATTGTTTAACATTGCTTTTTTATTGCAAACCAATCGTTATGGTGTTTCACAACTTTACGGTGATGATATTGATAAATGTAATTTGTCTTCGGGGAATAGGAACATTTTGGGATGGGTTGTGTCAATTCGTTTTTACAAGAAAAAATTACCGTTTTCATTAAACGGCTGTTTTAATATTCTGTACGTAACGAATAATTAAAACGCAAATGACTGGAAATTAAAGAACAAAATAAATAAGTACGTTTTTGGTATTAACAGGTTCGACCAATATATAGCATAAATTATTCCCGTACCAAAGCTAAATTATAAATATAACGGCCTATCAATAACTTTGTTAAAGACCACTTATTTTCATAACATCCTGAGTATTTGTTGTGAGCAGGCAGCAATCTTTTGGCTACTCGGATCCGCTGATGTGCTGTCGGTCTTGAGCCTGTTGTGTAGTGGTAAGTTAGAGACTATTTTCGTTTGAATCATTAATTTATTTGGAGATTCAGCGAGTAATGTCCCGAGAGCCATTATACCTCTGAAATAAAACGTCTAGGTTAATACCATATATTTGTTAATTGATAGAGGACAGACTAGTATGGGGATCACTCGATGGGAGGTGAAATAGGCCAGCCACATAACATTTACACTAGATGCGCTGTCAACCTATTTTGGCTTTGGATATTTGAAATATAAGATTAGATTATTGTAGGTAGGTATGTATCTTATAATTAAAAATATATATACAGATTTGGTTTAGGCGGCTAATAGCTTATAAATTATATACACTAAGCCAGCAATAATTGACGCCTGTGAACCGCCTGTTTATTAATCAATGTCAAACTCCGTTGGTGAAATTGGGTCACAAAAAAATCTAAAAGCAAAGCTCACCTGAAGTATGCTTCCTTGTCCGTTATTTTGTTTAACAACTCTATGATACAGTCTACAAGTTCTGTTGTATCGCTTTGTTGGCCAAGAGCTACTGATAAATTCAGTAATAATGAAGCCGCAGCTATCTGAAAAAAATATCTCAAATGCTTGAACTATAATTAATATTAATTTTATTATTTTTGGCTAATCTTAGTTACAGTAGATTAAAAATACTTAGGGCAAATAATCAGTAAGTTGAAGATCTATCTAAATTGATAAAATTCGACAACACGAGCGGTACACGATCTGGCATCCACAGAGTTCCGTGATGTTGCTATAAACAGTTGAGCTACCGTGTCTTACACGTTGTCATCGAACTTTTTTAGTCCATCGATAGAAGCTCTCGAGCAATGATAATTCCAAACTTGACAATTACGTACAATACGGCCGACGTAACTTGGCAAGTCTGAATATAGGTCAGACGAAATTTGGCGCATGTACACTCGTAAAGAAAACTAATACTGCCATTTATTTTCGTTATTGGGATAAATTAAAGATTTTACCTATAGCAAAATCGAATAAGGGCTACGAATACGTATTTTTCACTAAAATACTAAGACAAAACAAAAATATAACAAAAGAGAAATAATAGTATTAAATTTAACAAAAAACAATCACTTTTCCAACGGACTGCGCTCAAGACAGAGATAACAAAATAAACGCCAAGGAGTGACCGAGACACACTACTGTTTACCGAACATTACCGAATATGTACGAAGCTTTACAGAATTTAAAAAATAGTAATTATATCAATAATAACTCATATTTAATTTTCAGTTCAATAAAGAAAAATAAGTTTTTAATAATTTTATTTTCCTTTAAAAGTCATCATGGTATCATTTATTAATAACACCATTCACTGTGTTCTTAAACCCATTTGCTACAATATCTAATACGATTTAAAATTTCTAATCAAAATCGATTACAAAATTTAATAGAAAAAACGGTCGATTGTGTTGGCAATTCTAAGAAACATTTCTGCGCAGCAGTTCTCGCTAAGATCAGACTAGCCAAGTTATGTCGGCCGTATTATATTAAGGTTCAAATTAACAAATAATATAAAATCAACAGGCCTAAAAAGACTTAATATATAATTTCATTATTTAAAGAAGTTTTCAAAAATCAAAATTTCGTATTTTTCGCTGTGGATGCCGCTTCGAGTCCTGCCCGTGTCGTTATTTTTTTATTATTAATAATTTGTTTTTAATTCGTCTTTTTCTCTCACCTGCGCGTTGTTGTTCATCTGAGGGAGACAGATGAGGGAATGTACTACGCTCTCTCTTGCAGCCAGTACCAGCATTTCTCCAGGTAGATCACTAAATGCGTTTACCATAACTCGCATTGCAAACATCTGGTTCGCTGCCGTGTTATCTGTAGTATTCATAAAATAAACGTAAATCAGCATGAAATGCAGACAAACAAAATATTGTTTTTCCAAGATTCGAACGTAAGACCTGTGTTTAACATAATGCTAGGCAACACACTTAAGCCACGAATATGGTCAGTATAAATCAATATCAAACACGTTTTAACGGCTAAAAACGCGTAGTTAAAATTGTAAAGTTATAAGTAAACTTTACGAATTTTAACTACAGCAGCTTACGTGCATCAGCCGCCGCTACGTGAAGACCTACAGACCCGTCGGGTCGTAGTTAAAATAAGTTTTTAAGTTTAACTAATACACTTCGCGTTTTAAATTGTTAATAGTGTTTTATTTAAGCGTTTTAAATTCATTGAATCCGAATAAATACCAAGAACTTCTGTGATTTACTTTAAATTAATGTAAGAATCTTTATTTTTTAAAGGTCTGAATTATTTTATTCTAATTCTGGATCGAAGCCCATTCAAGATCAAGAAAAAGAGTCTTACCAGGTGTTAATAGTGCTAAGAGATATTTGACAAACGTTGGTCCATGGGTTGTGTCAAATATTTGAGCGTTTATATCCTTGTTTCTGACTGCCAGCCTTGTCACATCCAGTACGGGGAACAATATTTCTAAAAAAAGGCGATATAGTTTATTGAAACTCTTTTAACAAGTGTACACAGCACTATAAAATGCAGAGATCAATCAATTCCTTGTACAATCTTAAGAAGGGAGATAAGAACTATTCTAACATTAAGTTGTTAATGACCGTCTGTCATCTGTCAATGACAGTTTGTCGAACGTCAATGTCATTATATCAACCATACAAATGTTTCTTAACGTTCCCCGCATATCCCTTAAACCAACTATTCAGTCGATTTGGTAAATGTATCAATTGATGATTTGGTAAATAGATGGCAGCACACACCGCAACGACGCGGCCATCATGACATGTCCTCGTGAGAGGCAGTTGATTCACCAGGTTTATAATTTCTTTCTCCGTCTAGTTTATTAAAAGACTATATAATGGTGAGGGTCAAAGTGTAACACATACCTTTTGGCCATTCCAGCATTTGCTTTAACGAAGTAATAGTTTCTGGGCTATATGTGCAATTCTGAAACGAGAAACGAAGAAACTTAATTTTTGTACGTAGGTGAGATACGCATTGGCGTAAAGGTTACAGCGTATTGATTTACTGTAATTAAAAAAAAAAACTATTATTTTAAGAACTATTTCCACGTTACACTGTCGGTTGTGGCTTAAACTTCCACGGGCGATGGCAATTTTTCTATTTTAATATAAAGTAATATTGTTAGAGATTTAGAGTTAAGGTTTGTAATTATAGCGAAATTATTATAAGCATTTTTGTTTCTATGATATATGAATGAAAGAAATCTTAGCGTATCATCTGAAACGTCGGGTAGTTGAAGTAAATTGTTAATAAGTTACTAAATACATTTTGCGTTTTAAACAACTGAAAGTGTTCTATTAAAATGTGTACTACTCGCGTCAGTCTGTACACACGGACAATAGTCAGTAATATTAACTAAAGTTGTCTTTTAAATACAACACTTTCACGGTTTAAAACGCGATATATTAGTTAAACTTATTTGATAATGATTTTTAACTTCGGCCCGACGTTTCGGATGCTTTGCAGCAGCTATAGTCACGGGGAGACTGACTGTTTAAGTAATATATCGCGTTTTAAAGTGTTTTATTTAAATGTGTACTACTCGCGTAAACTATAGACATTATTTAAAGTTGTCTTACCATTTCACCTAATTTGACAATATCTTCTAACTGAGCTTCAGTAAAGGCACTTAGACCGTCACCAACTTTACTATTAAATTCTTTTAGTTTGTCATAAATTGCTTTCAAATTGGCTTGATCGAATCTGCAAACAAGTCACAATTTTAAAGGCTAATTAAATATAATAGAAATAACTGCATCAGAAAAAGTAATTATAACTTTTGTAATGGTAATATGAGTAGGTATGTTGAGTACGAGAGGTTCAGGGTTCGAATCTCGTGGAAAAAATAAATTATTTCGGCATATATTTATATTTTTAAAACGAAATATTTTTTCTATGTAGTACATAAAATTATTCAGTAGCTTTTATTATTAACATGCCATGTGAAATAAAACACAGACATCACCTTATATAAGAGTCGTATGGGACCAGCGGTTTATCCGTTGAGGCGATAGATGTCGCACTCGCCGTTGTGTACGCCCCAGACCCTGTGAAGGGGTCAGCGGCTGATGGAGGCGGTAAACCAGGGACGGCCGTCGAACCTGGGACGTACCTCGACTCACCAGTGAAAGGATCTGCAAAGCTAAAAGAGGACAACTTAAAAAAAAGGTTTTCGATGACTAAGACAAGGCCTTTGGTCTAATAGGGTAGTCGTAAGTTCGATTTCCAACATGTTTCTAATCAGTATTAAATGATGTGGTAGATATCAAAAACTCCGTTCAGGACACGAACCTGTGGATTTCTATATAACCCGAGGCCAACAGAGGTCGACGCATCTTGTTAACATGTGTAACATAGGCTGGCTGATGGTTTTCACCTTTTATCAAGTGAATCCTAATCTTTACTGTCCTCCTCCGTCATATAAAGGATATTTGTTATTTAGAAAACTATTTACTAATCATCTTACCCGTTACTGGAAGCTGGTAAGGAGTCTAATTTCGCATTCGTGATTATGAAATTGGCGACTTGGTCTAAGTACACTTGAGGTAGGTCATGTCTGAAATTAAAGAAAATAAATATATTTAAATTAACGGTTTAAAACGCGATATATTAGTTTAACTTATTTGACCATATATGTTTATATATCTCCCCGTGACCACGGCTGCTGCAAAACATCCGAAACGTCGGGCCGAAGTTAAAAATCATTTTCAAATAAGTTTAACTAATATATCGCGTTTTAAACCGTTAGAGTGTTTTTTAATTTAAATGTGTACTACTCGCCTAAACTATAGACAGTATTTAAAATCTATTACAGATGTATCGTGTCCAAGAACGGTTATCCAGTCTACTTGCATTAATTATAATTTGACAAAATTTTAGAACTCTTCGTAATACTCAAATTTCATACCTTTTATACCTTTACCGTTTTATTATTGTTTTATTACTTACTTATGAATAAACGCCTGAGCAGCAACCCAGGGATCTTCAGTCTTATTGAATGGTAGTTTTAGTGCAGGAGCACCATCTTTAATGTCCACGCTAAAGACAAAATCGTATTCCTATAAATGAAAAATTATATATATAATGACCTTTAGTCAAAGATAGAGCAATAGATAAAATTACTTTAAATAAACACCTAAAACGGAAATATGTGTTTAAAACGCGAAATATACGTGTTCCTCCGTGACCACAGCTGCTGCAAGGCAAACAAAACGTCAGGGCGTAGATGAAATAGTAAGCTAAGAGAGTACTAATACGTACGTAATTGTAAATATGTATTTAGTTTCGCATTTAGAACCGTTTTGAGTGTTTTATTTAAATTTGTACCAGTCGCGTAAACATCCGACCGTACAAGACATACTTACCTAGCTATCATTTTGTATAGATGTTATTTTTATTTGCCTTTGCATAGACATGATAGAGTATTATATTATTACCTTTCCTTGATACATAGTTTTCCCTTCACTTGCTGGTTTTGCACCCATGACATCCCCAACCTCATTCCATGTGTTCTCGGCAGCACTCCAAGAGTAACATTTCACGTTGGTACCACGGCGCACCAACTTTGTCTGACCATCTGATTTTCCTGGATCTAATAAGGCTTCTGGTCCTGGTAATCTGATAAATAATAATTTAAAACTGATGCTGCTTTCAAAACAAACACATTAAAGTCGGCTTAATTATTTTTAACTTAATGTATTACAGTTAGCTCAAGTCTTACCTTAGCTTAAGCTAGCTCTAGAGCTTAAATGTTTGAGAGTAACCCAAAGTGTTTCACCCTTTCTGAGGCAGGTAGGGACATTTCTGGATCCTTTTACCATTATTTTTATAAGAGTAGTTTTTTAGCAACTGCGTCAAAGGACGATAACTAGAGCATTATATGTTGTTATTATATCATCATTGATAAAATTATTACTTACTCTGAGAGTTTAAATCCACCAAAATCTTGTTGGGACGCAACAAGCATTTTCTCAACTTCTTGATCAAATTGTTTCAATGTCGCTTCATCTGCAAACCGGGATGGATCCTTCGTAAAAACTCGAACCAAGCCATCACTAGAGCCTGAAAAAGGATGTTCAAGAAATGAGAAAAGTAACTTATTAGCGACCGTTTGTGAGCTATAATGACTTTAAACGAAATTTAATTGCTTCAAGATTACAACCAGAGTACTAAGTGGGCACAAAACTGTATCTAACAATCAGAAATCCCTACCCCAAAGTGAAAAGTTGTCAATAACTGTTTGTCATCTCTAAATGACAGTTTGACAATGCCAATATTATTTGAAATTCCAAATATATGAGGCGTTAACAAAATGCCCATTGGAAAAGTGGGGCAGCACTGTGACACAGCCAGCATTGTGTGAGGTAGTTGATTGACCTGGCTTATAATTTTTGGAGACTTTTACATTTCACAATTATATGCCTCATTTGAACTCTAGAGAAAGATATTTTGGGAAACTTAATAAATAGATAGTTGTTCCATAACCTCTTGCCATACCATAGTTATATTGTCACCTAGACAAAGCTTACCAGTAACAACATCCCCATTATCCAAACAAGTGACACTCCACACTGAGTGTACCGGTAGTCTCAGTTCACAAACACAGTCACCTCCAGACCATATTCTTACACTGCCATCTTCACCACAGCTAGCAAATCCTTTATCTACGCCTGGGTTCATACTTATACTGAAAAGTAGAAATTATTTTATCAATTAACTTGACAGTTAAAAATGTTGACACATTTGAAAACTGTGGCGAGCACACACTATGGCACAATTAAAAAATTTCCAAAATCTTTCTGCAGTAGCAGCAGAGAATTTCATAGGATACTAGTAGTATGTCAAAAAACCTTAAAGTTATGAAACGGCAGTAATTAACTAAAAAGGTTTAACTATAAAATAGTCTTATACCTGTAGATATAGTTAGTATGTCCATAATATGTGTTAAGGCACTCCCCTTTGTTGGTCCAGAGTTTAATTGAGGCATCATTAGCACAACTTAGAAAAGTATCATTGCTAGCTACTGCCAGACCACGGACACAGTCTGTGTGACCTGAAATTGATTAAAGATTTGTCTATTTTAAATCTAAGTAAATTAACAAATATATTTACCCATAGGACTTCTACATCCCCCAGCCATATAACATTCTTGGCAACAACTGGACATTAAACATGGAGTATTCACTAAATACTTGGTTTTATATCTGTAGATTAAGAATATAGTTGACATAAGACAAGTTACCATACACATACCTGTTAGTGTTGTAATTAAAGCACCATCCTTTCTCCACATTTTTATAGTCTTATCAGCTGATGCAGTAGCGTAAACACTATTAGCCAGCTCCACCAAAGCCCACACAGCTGCTTGGTGGCCTTTTAAGATAATAGGTGCCATTTGGGGTAGATTTATGTTCCATACTCTACCTGTGCTATCCCAACTAGAGCTAAAAAAATTCAGTTTCTTTGAACATTCTTTTAACCTATATAATGCAGTGCAAAAAAAGAAATAAAGACAGGTTATTTTTAAAATCATACTTAATTTTAACAATAAATATTATAAAGCATAAAATCTAATAAGATTGTAAGATACACAATAGTTAAAAGTTAAATAAGTTGAAAAAAATATTTTTAATAATTATTTTTTTCTTTATTTATTTACAAGAGGTAACTGAAAATAAATTGGTTATCGTGATTAAAGCGATATAATTAATAACCTTAATAAGATGCCAGACTCTCTCCCTGGTGTCACACTACAAACTGCATTATCATGACCTTTCAGATTGATTTGAACAGCTCCATCTTGTAGAGTATAGCCTAGAATTGTGTTGTCGTTACTTCCTGTGATGACCAGACCTTCAGGAAAAGATTCACACGGTGGTAGCCAGCAAACGCAGGAAACGAAATTCTTGTGTCCTTTATAAGTTACTACGTTGACAAAATCTTTTACACTGTAAAGTGTGTTATACTTAATTAGGTAAAGCGTAGATTTGATATATAAATATATTATTAATAAGATAAAACCTACCCTTCAGGGTGCCAAAGTATAGCGGTTCTGTCTCTTGAAGCGGATAATATACAGTAATCTTTAGTTGTGGATACACAGCGCACATCCATGGAATGTCCACAAAGTACAGCGCTAAGTTTGTAATCGGGTATCGCCATCGTTAATCAGTAATTTATAAATGATATAGCGAGAGAAATGAATTTTATTTCCAGATCGAATCAAACAATACAAACATGAAACAGCAATCACAGTTGACACTTGACAGCAATATAAATTTTGTAGTGAGACAGGCAGTATTCAGTTATCATATCTTTTGATCATTGACATTGATTGTTAAATTTTTTATTCTTAGCGTAGCTTTAAAATATTAGAAAAGAACTTTATAAAGCATGTTTTAAATACATTTTATTAATTCAATGTCACCATATTTTTTATACAATTCTTTTAATTGAATAAGAATTATTATCTATATTTGCCGCAGAGTTCTATAGTCTATTACTTTTATTGTCTATGATTATTTGGCGCGTTATTTGTATTTATAATAAGTGATTTATATAAGTGTAATTATTGCTTAATATATTAGATCTGTAATTCGTAATACATGTGTATTATCATGTTTATAAATAAATAAGCTATTTTAGAAATATGAAGCGACAATTCAATGTTGCTACGGTTTAACAATAAGTAAAGTAAAGTGTCTGTTTGCCCATAGTTAAGTTATTATATAATTAGTGTATAAATTACACTCATCGAATTAAATGTTCTTAAACGCTTTCAGATGAGCTATAGCTGCTATCATGTGTACTTTTATCACTGTACAATGTTGTGGTGTCTATAGGCCGTATCTACATAGAATATCATCTTGTTTTTAGGTAGTGTAAAGATGGCGTCGACGGTGTGTGTTTCTCGGTGCCGTCTCTTAACTAAAATAGAAATAAATCGTGGTCTGTGTTTATCTCCTATATTTAGAGATTTGTTTAATAACAAAGTAAGTATCTTAAATTTTAAACACTTTTAAGGTTTTTTCTTTAGGGCTTTCATACATATATTCTCATTTTCGGCTCGATCCTTTTCGTCGTACCTATCTATGGATATTTTTATTTTTAAACTTACTGTCAAATGTCACTCGCCGACTTGTTATTCGTATTATTAGATAAGATTTGCTTTATTTTTAATATTTCAATCATAATTGTACAGAAAATACATAAAATAACTTTAATTCGCCGAATAGACTCATATAAATATTAATGTACATATTTTCCATAAATGCCGGGCCGATATTATTATTTTTTACTTAAATAAATCAAGTGTTGACAGTAAGATATATTTGAATAGGTAGCAGGAAAATACCGTCGATTTTACAAACGCGCTTTATATAGGTTTTGTACTGCTGTGAAAGATAATTAAAATTTTTATTATTTGATCTAATCTTTATTGAGCTGAATGATTACTCATTGTAATGAGTGATGCATGCTAGATGGTGAATTATTCTCTTTTATGATTTTATAATATACCATTGTTTATGAGTAGATTAAATATAATAAAACATGCAATTAAATACAAGCAAATATAGTTTAGTTAAATGTTTTTCTTATTGGATTTAAAATGTTACAAAGATACTAAAAACACATACATTTATAAATTGAAGAGTTTTTGGCTAAAAGTTAAAGCTACTTCAAGTATTTATGATACTTGACATAAAGTGTTTCTGAGTTGATCTCTTAAAACTGGTTTCTAAGTATGCCGTATGGCCTGATTTTTTAAACTGATTAGTAGGTAACTATAAATGTTTTTATATATATTCTACTTATGTAAATGGTATTATAAGCACACAATTGTATCTACATGTTGTGGGAAAACTATATACACTCTTTGAATTTGGAAAAACTAAAATACAGTATAATGTAAAATGCATACAAAAAAAAATCACTTACATACAGACATTACATAAAGTTAGACAAATAAATTTTGGCCAATTTAAGGGAAGTAAAATTTTTAACATTGTAACACTGCACTAGTATTTTGGTTAAAAATTTAGGACCGAGAAGTGGTGTTAATTTGCTCTTCACGGAATTGCTAATAATCACCTTGTTAAACATAACAAACATTAGTTGATAATTGTAATAATCTTCATAGGCAAAGATTCTAGTTAAATGTTGAAGTGAAATATTTTTAAATTCAGCATAATAAAATTTAATAACTCGGTCTATGATTAAATACAATAATATCTACTATAGGAAGGATATATATGAATGACCAACTTACAAGAAATCTCTTTTCTTCTGTTTGTTTGTTAAACAAGTTTAATATTTTGGTATATGATTTAACTTGCAACACACATTCTAAATTATAGTTAAGTACAACTTTACCTCTAAATCACTATTATTTAAATTTGAGTTATGTTAAAGTCGATGACTCTTCAAGGTTGTTAACGGTTAGTGCCCTCCAAGAATTATTTTAGATGTATTATATTTCTTAAGCAACATGCATAATGCATTGCACTGTATTAATTTTGTAATCAAGCTAATTTTTTTTTGCATTTGATCATACCTATTTCTTTTGAACTGTATGGTTTAGCTAAGAGTTACGATTAAAAATAATTTGTATCTTAAAAATTTTTATCGTTGTGATTTGTCTTAACGCCATTTTTTTGAAATTTGACGTTTATTTATACGACGCTATAAAGGCATCTTACGCTTCCAACAGGAAGGAGACATTTAGAAGTTTATTTTTATGAAAGAGAAAAGTTCACTTGATGAGGTGTAATACCCCAGCCATAACTTAACAGGCGGTATCGACCTATATTGGTTTTGGATATTCGGGAATCCACATTGAAACCGAAGCGGTACAATTTTAGGCTTTGTATGTGGACGGATGTCTGTTCCTACCACCCGTTTATCGTTAGTAATAATTAGCTTCGTACGGAAATCTCTAGAAGAAGTCCAACATGTTAGAGATAAATAAAACACTTTAACGGTTTAAAACGCGTTTTATTTAAAACTTATTTGAAAGTGATTTTTAGCTTCGGCGCGACGTTTCGGATGCTTTGCAGCAGCCACAGCGTTTTAAACGTTAAAGTGTAGTTTAAATATGTATCTCGCGTAAACTATAAACCGGATGTTACAGATAATTATAAATTGACAGAGAATTATAAATTGTTTGGAACCATGTTGGACTCGTTGGATCGTAACCACGACTCTTATTTATTAGCTAAATATTACTAAAGCCCGTCAAAATAATAAAAAAAGTGAATTGTTTACGAATTGAAAAAAAAAAACAATTGAATTTTACTCATCTTTTTCAGGAATCGTGGTGCTGGAGATGGCGGCCGGCGCGACGCGCGTTCTACACAAGTATTTGCGCTCGTGGATCAAAATCAACACCCACAAAGATTGAAGAGAAACTTGATGGTAAGACTGTATAATTATATTTATTAACTTGTTGTATGCTGTATACCTACTTTTAATACGTTTTATTTTAATACTTGCTTCTAAATAAATGTATTTTCTTCCACGTTATTTTTCATTCCAATAAAACACATATTTCATATATCGATATATCATTTAATCATATTAGCGTTAAAGCCTAAAAACCATCACCGCGAAGGACTTAGGCCTAAATAAAGAAAACTTATTTGACGTAAGCAGTATATGACAGTGAATAGCGCGTACATCATTATTTATAATACTTATGCGTAGTAACATTTACAAGCAATAATTTAATCTGTCATCTCTGTAGATAACGATATACCTATGCGAAAGCTACTTATTGCTATTTAAGCTATCGTAACAATTCTCTAAGACCTCGAACTCTTCGAACACCATTTCACCGAATTTTCCAGTTGCGACAGTCTTGTTTTGCTCCAGATTCTCGTTTACGTAATAGAATTTCTTTTCAAAAATATGGTTGTCGTTTCCGCTTTTGTCTTGTAAATTTCTCTTTATGTTCTCCGTTACTTCTGCGTTGATCCTATCGTTTCTGTGATTTTCCACTTTGTTTTCAACAATTTCTTTCGCTGGTATCGTTTCATTGTTCTGTCTGGACTCACTGAGTCGCTGTTTCTTTTCATCGCTAAATTTTCTTTTAATTGGAGCCTTTATTTGACCTTTACTGTAGCTTTCTAGGCGGCATATTTTGTTTTTGACGGAATTTTCTTCGTCCTGCGCTAGTGGGGGATCTTCCAATGAGTTTTGTTTCCTAAAACGAAACCTAGAACTTTTGTTTTCGTCTGTGCCTGTTAATTCTAAGCGACTGCTACAACTATTCGATTTAACTAGTTTAAATTTAAATCCTGGAAAAGTATCAACGCCTAGTTGTTTGTCTTGACAAGGTGTATTTTCGCAATTTTTTACTTCTGATATCGGTTTTTCCACAATTGTCGGTTTGTGTTTATCTGCAACTAAGCAGGCACAACGTTCCCCTTTACATTTTGTTTGGCACGATATACAACTTGTGCTACAATTTCTTTGCAAGCTTTTTATCTCGTCCATAATTGCTTTCGTCATGGGACTGACGTTTGAACCTGTTTTTGAGTTTAATACTTTGCCACCATAGTATGTGACTGACGTCCCACAGTCACGAATCTTCTTTAAAATATCCGGACTAACGTATTGACTCTCACAACAGAAGTCTTGGTTTGCAGAGTCGCACAGGTATTCGTCACTTGAGCTGTACACGTCCTTTATATTTTTATTAGAATAGGGACTAAGGGCCTCTGCGTCATAATCATTGTTTGAGCTTAAGTCTCCACTGGACACTCCACTTGAAAGACTAGCGTTATCCCACTTTTTATTCCCGAAATTTGTATCGATGGTCAATTGCCTTATTAGTTTCTTTCTTCCAACGCTTTTGTTACTTTTCATGTCTTCACTTAAATTTCTATACGACGTTGAACGTCTTGTTAGTCCTATGTTTTCTTCAATCAGGGGAGGGTCGTGCGTCATCGGGCTTTTCATCTTTAATGTATCCTCAAAAAGGTTTCGTACCTTTTTAACAGTGTCTGGATTTGGTAATTCTTCTTCAATAATTTCTTTGTTTACTCTTATTGGATGATAGAAGAAGTGTCTTCGAACTGCATTTTTAGATTTTTCTATTTGCGATGAACTATCGTTTTTCTTCAGAAATGTTGGATGTATTTTGCATGTGTCCATATTTTTATCTTTACGCGGTGTCGGCTCTACTTTAGTTCTTACGGGTTCAATTATCACAATATTATTATTCGTCAATAACTCCTGGAAACTGTAATCTTGTAAATACTGTAGTAAGCCATCAAACTGCGCCTCTTTTCTATAGTTCGCAATCATGCTATTTTTAAATAGCTCTGATTTCATTACCTTATATCGAACGTGATCGAAGTCATCACAACCCTTTTCGTATCCTTTTGCCTTTATTAAGGTCGCCTGGGTTTTCTGGTTCTGATTGTCTTCACAACTAAGCTCCACAATTTCTATTTCTGGCGTTTCTCGATAGGAATCTATGTCGTATTTTGTATTATTTCTGTCCACTCTTGAAGGGGAATAAAACTGTTGACTATGAGTATCCTTAACAATCTTTTCAATTGGCGGCTCTTCAATTTCTGAATCACTTTTCACTTTTTCAGTTTCATCTTTCCACAATTGCAACTTTGTTTGACTTACTTTTCTTATACTATCTACAATTTTCACACTTTCTAGGGATTTTATAATTTTATTCACTGAAAACTCTGATGATAAATTCTCGTCTGTATGTTGTGCTTTTGGTTCCTCCGTTTGTTTTAATGGTTGGCTAGCTATTGTTTCCTCTTTTTCTATTTTATTTGAATTTTCCGGAGATTTATCTATGAGCTTAGACCAATAGTTTTTAACGGAACTAATTTTTTCTTGGTATTCAATATCTGTTTTAATAGCATCGTCTAATTTTTCTTTAACTTGGCAATTGTCAATCTTCTCTACTTTCATGTCAACTAGTCTTTCTTCTTTTTTTGAGTCCTGATTTGTACTTTGGTTTATTTTTTCTGAGAGTTTTGATTGCTCTTGATTATTTGATATTTTGTGTTTCGAATCTACTACTTGAAGAATTTGGGGACGTGTCATTGTTTTATTAGTATCGAATTTCCGGGTCAAAGAATAGTTTTTGTGATCTTTTAAGATTAGTTTTGAAGGGGGCTTCTCTATTGATGACTTGTATGTTAAAAATGTCATCACACTTATCAGTGTTCAGTTTTTGTAAATTTTTCTTTATTACTTTGTTTAGTTTTATTGTTATAAATGAGTCTTTATTGCCTAACGATTTAAGCTCTGTATTAACCTCCTCACTTTTTATGAAAGTGTCTTGCGTAGTCTCTTTTGAAGTTGCTATTGGCTGAGTACAATTTTCCGACTTTGTACTAAACTCTGCCTCCGAATGTTTAGGCGTGCTTTTATTTTCTTTTACTTCCTTTTTTTGCTGCACAGGTGGGTTTATAACAAGAGTTTGGTGACCGCTTAGGGGAACAATGTCTATTTTCAATTCTTCTGTTGTCTTGAACGACCGAACTCTTGACAACAGAATGTGATTTCGAAGTTCTTCAGCAAATGACGGTTTCGAAAACTCTCTGTTTATACTTTGTAGGTTGCCAATAACTGAATCTGGACTTGGAATCGAGACCGAATCGACTGGATCTCGCTGCCGTAGAGAATAGTGTTTTTTGATATTCGTTTTTGCTTTACTTTTGGCTGTTACATGAATGTTGTCGTTAGACAAGGATTTTAAAATTTTTTGTTCTGGTTTTACGACAGGTGTCGAATTAATTGATGCACCTTTTGTTACTAGTTTTGTATTACGTATAGTTCCTTCAATTTCATTTATTTCCCTCTCGTTTTGTTGGTTGTCTAAAAAGAAGTCATGACCGTGATCATCTGCGTTAGAACTTTCGATAGTTATTATAGATTTCAAATCGTCTTCGAGCTTTGTATAATTCTGTATAACTTGAGATTCAGAATATTCGGGCAAATAAATGCTTGTGTTGTGAGATATGGTTTTTGTCGGTTGTGATTCTATTTGTGTTTTGTTCAATTGACCGTAGTTTTCGTTGCCCCTGTTGATGATTTCACTAAAGTGTGTTTGTGCTACTTCGTAGGAATTATCTCTAGGAATGTCTTCCGGGTCTTCTTCTCGTAATTGTGCATCTATTCTCTCACTCTTCCTAAGACATTTACTGATATTTATGTCAGGTAAAGAATAATACTGGTTTTCTATTAAAGTAGTTACAAACGGTTCAGTGGTTATATTTTTTGATGCACACGCTTCTCTTTTGTTGTATGTTTCTGTATCGATGTACGTTCGACTGACGTAGGTCTCGTTTGCTTTGTTGTTGTTAACTTGATAAGAATTGTGTTTCTTTTCGAAGGATTCTCTTTTTATATCTGCGAATGTCTTTTTCTTTTGCACTGTTGTATAAATAGGATCTATATCAGCTGATTGACTCGCAGTGTCGATGGTTTGTGACTTTTGGGAAACTTGATCCTGGTACTGTGAATCACAATACTCATCGATTTTTTCAGCTAAAGAATGAGTTAAATATTCTAATTTGTGAGATTTATCGGTCGATGATGCGATAGAAATTGATACATAGGAAGTAATGCTGTCGGGTGGGCTCGATACTGTGCCGTCGTTCTCAGAAATAATCGAATGATTATCACCGCTCTTTCTAATTTCCAATTGTGTCCTATAAATTTCACTATGGTTGTTATCTTTCACGTCAACCTCCTTGTCTTGTAAAGATATTATGTCATAGGTCACGTGATCATCTACTTTACAAAGTTCTATTTCTCTGTTGTTTCTACATTCGCTGTTTCTTCCTATAGTCTCTGAATTCGGCGTGTTCAATTTTTCTCTTTGTTCCGTGTCGCTGTCTTTTTCGTCGGTGACTATGTAAAGATCTTTGCAAGACGGCGTAGCTAATGACCTCTCTGTATCGGGAGATCCTTCCTTGTAATTCTTCAAATGCGCTTCAAAGTTGTAGTGTTTCCGAACGTAATTTGAATCCAAGCTATCAATTTCGCTCGGGTTTCGAGAATGACCAATGCTATCCTCGGAAAGGTTTATTTGTTTTGTTTCTTCTGTTAGGTTTGCCCAGCTACCGTTGGCTGATTTAGAGTGTAAACTTTCATTACACTGTGAGTTATCTTTCAGTGAATTGTTATCGCTCGTGTTGGGAAGACTACACGGTTCTTCTTGTCGTTGTCTGTTGATATCAGCGAAACACGAGACTGTGCTTTCAATGTATATTCCTTCCGAGACTTCTTCTTTGCTATGATACTTTGCTCGACCAGGCAATCTGTAAAAAGTAAGAGGTGAATAAACACTGGGTCATATACATAATATCTTCATATACATAAGTGAAAAATAATGTATTTATATAAATAACATTGCAAATTGGACCTACATTGTGTAATTGTAAAGTCAGAGTTAGTGGTTATTATTATTTAATTTAATATTTTTAGAAATAATCTGTTTACTAACCTGTCTTTAAAGCAAGGTTTATCAAACAATCGTGCCCGAGGAATCAGCTGAGATCTCTTGTTTTTTCCGTGATTCTGAAGTTGTAGATCAGTGAATGTCTCCTCACGTATAACGGCTAAGCTTCGACTGCGGCGCAAGTTTGACCCTTCGACCTCCCTGTGTTTACACAGTCTTCCGTAGCTCCCGCTAAACTCTGTATCGGAGTTCGAGAAACGCTTGTGTAGGGACTCCTCTGCCGCCCGAGATCGCGTCAAGTGCTGATAAAACTCGTCCTGTGGCAATTGAACCGGTACCTTGTAGTAATCGGCTAATTTGCTCTGATACTTCTCTTGTTTCTTATTTTTATCGGTCGGCTCTTTGCTCTTAGATAACTTCCTCTTCTTTGGCTTCTCCTCCTGATTCTTCCTGGAGTCTAAAGAGTTACGCGGGCTGTCGAATTCTAGTGACTCCGTGGGGTTCCCGAAGTATTGAATGTCGGCAACTGTATTCGCAGCGGATTTGTGCTCGTCCTGACTCGATTTCCTCTCGACGAGTTCTCGAAGACGGCTTCTTGTCGAGCTCGCGTTGGACGTGACGCTGTCTGGACGTTTAGTTGGATATTCCAAGTTGGACGACGATCTTCTGAAGAGGCTCGTCTTTATGGAGCCAAAGTCGCTGTCGTCCTGACAAGAAGCCGCTGAGAAGTTCTGAGTCCTTATTCGGTCAACGTGATTCTGACTAGAATACGACGCGACCGAGTCCACCGAGTGTCTGAAATGGAAAACGCGAGAGATTAGATTAAGGGAGTTATTGAACTAAGATGATAAATCTGTTTGCAAAAGATTACGTTTTGGGCGTTTGTCATGACTCCGATGACACAATGCAAATCAAATATTGTTAACAGGTGTATACACAATCTGTGTTATAAAAAAGTTCACTGCTAAACTGCTATTTATATATTTTATACTTAGTAACTAATTGTAAATTACTTATTTTAAACGATATAAGCAGACACATTGATACGATTGTCTCATATTCTATATTATTCTTGTGGTATTTCAAAAAATCAAATCTATATTTCGTAGAAATTAACTAGAGTTTATAATTATTTAATTTGTTTTCCACAATTTTCCACAGACTTTTAGATAAAATCTCTTTGGCATAATGCTCGGTTCACCCTACTTAATGTTTCTGAATACTCCAAAGTCTAAGTGTTTTGCAGTCTCTTTTTAACGTCATTGGCTTTCTATCGTCTCTTGATTGTCGAGGCAGGGTTGGCATCGTGCCAAAGCCATGCCAGCGACGTTCGTATTAACAAGGTATTGTTACTTGTATGAGCGGTTTAAGCACGTTAAAATTAATTTACTTGTTCATATTAAACGAGGCATACGATATTTTTCACCTCCTGTGTAGGTTAACCGTGTTACCTAGCATTGCATATGCGCGAGAGGTCCTGGGTTCGAATCCTGGGGAAACGGTAGATTGTTCCGGTCGGTCAGGGCATACAGAAGTCTGATCAACTACTTCACTGTTAAAGAACCCATCAGTGAAATGGACACAAAAATGTGTTCGCCTCATGCCCTACGGAAAAAGCCTGTGTCATGTAGAAAGAGTTTATTTCTAGATTTATTTAAGATGTTTAAAGTTTAAAATGTAAAATTTAAGTAAGCATCAATAACATTGAATATAATATATTCGAGTAATATATTATGTATATGACTTTGGTATTAATATATAAAACCTAAAAAAAGGAAAAATTCATCAATGAGAGAGAGAGAGATAGATTACTAAAATTTGACTATTGCTTAACGAAAAGGAGAAAACTATGTTTGTTTCACAAAAACATTTTACACAATTTATGTCAAAAATCCTGTATTAGTCTTGCTACTTTGGTTCTATATCGAGACAATGTGATAAATCACTATGTTTGTAACTGATCGCTTATCATACCATTAATCTTAATAATTATTGGCGCTCCATACCTTTTGTCCCGTATGTTAATGTAGTTTGACAACACATCTGCGCTATGTTTCAAAAAGAGATATCATGAAGATTTTACACGCAGATAAATTAACAAACGCTTTGAATTGACGCCAAAAGAGCGGATAACTATTTATCGCTTTCGTTGACGTTGCCTTCACTCGAAATAAGTTTAGGATTGTGTTATGTTAATTATCAACAGTTAGGAAGACGAAGTATAAATAATAATATGTTATATGACTTCCACGAGTGAGAAGAAATATTTTTCTCTACGATTAGCCTATGTATTTTTGACATCTTGTTTAGATGTTATATGGCTATAGGTGAACCCTGTGCTCGTCTGTCCTTCTCTATCATAAAAAGGAATACATAGACTAAGTTAAAGAAATTTAATGAGATGTTTTTACATTCGAAATTTAACCTGAACACTATAAATGAAAAATTACATACTTACTACATTGCTTTTAGAATATAATTTCGTAGTCAAAAGTCATATTGGATAGTTGTGTTAGCGTCATCGTTTTGCTACTTGGCAGAACGTTTAGTGATTCATTGTTAAAAACGCACTGCAATTTTTATTGCATCATTAGGTGGAAAATAATGCTCGTTAACATTGCGAGAGGAATACTAGAGAGCGCATCGTGAACGCTAAAAATGTGTCCATGACAACTATTACTTAGTACCACTATGACATATCACTTGGTCAATCGTGCTCTTCTAGAAACCAAAAACAGCATCATGGTATAAATGGCACGGGCAACCTTAATTATTTTTTGAACTTGAAGAAATAATTGATTTAAAAAATCGAAAATAAATTGAAAAAAAATTCGACTCGGGCAGGACTTGTTCCGTGCTGTTGCTCTGTTCTCTGCTGTTCTGTCTTTATCTTCGATTTTTTAAATTATATGGTGCCTACATGTGCAATAACATGTAAAAAATTATAAAGTTTTCAAACGGAATAATTGAATCATGATTTAAATAAAACACTTTAACGGCTTAAAACGCGATAAATATGAGTTAGTCTCCCCGTGACCACGACTGCTGCAAAGCATCCGAAACGTTGTATCATTGCCAGTTGAGGTTTCAAATTTATCGATAAATAAATTTAAGAAACTTATAAAATTTTGATAGTCTCAAAAGGCGTATTCTTGTTTGAACGATTTCTTTAATGACAAGACCGCCTGGTAGTAATATGAATGGCTCCTTAGATTAATAAATACACAATGTATTAGTTTATAAGCCGAACTGAGTTTCTTGGGTGTTCTTCTCAGTTATGTTGCTCCTTTGAACACTGTAGAATCGCTACGAACAGACAGACAAACAAAACAATTTGTAAAATTTTAAAGAGAATAAAGTATATTTTATTTTTATTTTATTACTACTCAGCGTCTATTGCTACATCCGATAAATTGGCTCAGAGTAAATTCAATGTTTCAAATCAGACTGGCCATTCAAACATTAAGGCGTTCACATAAACAGTTCTATAACCTTTGCAATGATAGTAATTAGTTTTCTTTCATCACATTTTTTATTGTCTATTCCTTAGCATTATATTCTCCTGTATGGAGTATGAGTGAACGAGATGATGTAGATCTGTACAAGCACTTTCAAACACTATAATAAATTTAAAGAGCTTATCTACGATGTAGCGAAGTTATGAATGCGTGCGAGCCAAAGAGTCGTTGTGGAAAAGTTTAAAGATAAGTTTTGTTAAAGTTTTTTAACTGATAGTTATTTATTCTTGTTAAATCTTTTGTGTAAGCATCACTTTGCTTAGTAGCTTTGTAATGAGTGTCATTGACAACGAGTAAGTCTTTTTTCTACAAATGGAGGCGACGTGACGAAAACTCAATGTATTTTACAGAACATGGAAAAATACAATAGGTTGATGACTACATAAATCTTTTAAATAAAACACTTTAACGGTTTAAAACGCGATATATTAGTTAAACTTATTTGAAAATGATTTTTAACTTCGGCTCGACGTTTCGGATGCTTTGCAGCAGGCCACGGCTCGTTTGACTAATATATCGCGTTTTAAACCGTTTTATTTAAATGTGTACTACTCGCGTAAACTATAGACTTTAACCAAAATCTTGTTTTACAGAATATTGGCATAATGTTATGTAACCCATATAATTAGGACTATAGCAAACATAAGTTTTTTTAATTATTTACGTATTATCAACCGTGGCATCTAATTTCGACACGGTCACTGTCACGGAGATATTTTAGTTCGATAGAAAAATAACCTTGCGTCACCTTGAGTAATGTTGCTTCGTTAACGACGCGTGTCTGAACACGAAAATAGTTTTTTTTAATATCTATTCCTCGGATTTGGAATCATTTGGAATATAAATATTAATCTGCTTGGAGAATTCGATGTTAACGTGATTTTAAGATGAAACGGATGGAAAACAACATAATTTAGTTCTGGAACGCAATTCCCATCGAATTGATATCTTACGGCGATAGGTAATAATACTTTTTTATCACTTTAAATAAGACAGACAATTGTATGTACAATTTTTTAAACTAGATTGGTATACAAATACTTTTGAAATTATTGTCAGACAAAAGCCCACTAAAATGGATAACATCCGACCGAAGTTCCAGCTAAAATTGTCAGGATAAAAGAAGTTCCTCCCTAGGGTTCCCGTCGTTTTTCCGTAGAATTTACACAAAATCAGTTTGCTTGGTCTTTCATGGAAAGTTCGTTAAGACTTACGTCGTTTGAGTGTTTCGAAGTAAAAGATTCTTTCACTATTAAAAATGCCTGATCAAAACTTAACGGCAATATTACTCTTGCATCCATTACATACAAGTGCAATATATGCTTCAGAGATAAGTGAGATTGTGTTCTTACAATATCCATACTATTGTTAAAAAGCTGAAGAGATTGTTCGTTTGTGTCACAAGAACTACTGGTTCGAGTAGAAAAATCTTTGTGTTGGTTGGATTTATTGAGGAAAGGCTATAAAACATCATGTTGCAACTAATAGAAGCGAAAAAGAAAAAAAAAATCCGCCACAATATATATCTATCTTTTAATAGTGTGAAATCCCGTTTCCCCCTGGCGGGGCATGGGGCGAACAAATTTCTGTGTCAGGTTCACTGATCACAGTTTATTAACATGCAAGTAGTTGATCAGAACAGTGCCCTACCCGACCGAAACAATTTTTTGCGTCCCTGGAATTCGAACCCAGGACCTCTCACGCTCGACGCAATACGTTTAACCCTTTGGCTACAGAAGCGGTCATTTATATAGTTTGAATTGTATTTATTTAAGAATGATAACAGATGGCGCTAGGCTTTATCTACCCCAAAATACGTGACATAAGACTTTAACCTTGGTTAAGCTAATTTAATTCCCATAGTTATAACCTACGAGATAAACGATTAAAATTTATAAGAGAGCAACTCATTTGAAATCCATTGCTTTATCTAAACGATATGCCTGTTTTCCATCTACTTACGCGCAATGTTTATGATGCAAAATAAAAATAACCTCTACCATTGAACTATCTACCTATAGATTTCAGAAGTGAGGGAGAGACCTATATTCTTCGGAACGGCTTTGATGTGACAATCGCGTTTTATATTAAAACGCCGCATTTCGTATGCGCATAATTTCTGAAGCCAATAAATCTGTAAAAGATTGTATTAAACCGCGCGCTCGTTGTTCAAAAGCTCACCCATTTTATTTATAAAAACAAATATTTGTTCATAGTTCACTCGATATTTGTAGTGAACACGTTGCTGTTCAAGATTCAAAATGTTAAGAGGACTGATAGAGTTTGCGTTTTAAGCCGTTAAAAATGGCGAAAATCCGCCAAATCGACCGCCTCTGTACCTAAATAGTAGAACGTGTTGCCTAGCATTGCGTTAAGCGCGAGAGGTTCTGGGTTCAAATCCCGTGGAAACAGTAAATTGTTTCGGACAGGGCACAGAAGTCTGATTAACTACTTGCCTGGAAATAGAAAATGATCAGTCAAACGGACACAGAAATATGGTCGCCCTATGCAAAGGGATTTCACTTGTTCAAGACTGAATAACAATTTTGTACGAATTTTGAATAATACTATTAAGAAATAAGGTCTTTAAAATGTAGCTGAATTTCATTCTCAGTTATTTAGAACAGTAAAGATCGGATCTTTGCTGCCCGGCCGCAAGAAGTTGTCGGGTCAAAGTTTATTTTAAAACGAAATGAAAGTCATCTGGGTAAACATTGCCTTTAGTTTATTATCAGTATTTCAGCTACCAGTTAGATGTTACATACATTTTACGTATGGTGATATTAATAGCTTTCTGCATCATTTTGAGTTAATATTTTGAAACACACTAACGATGATAATGAGGGAGGTAAATAAGTGATTAATTAGTACATATCGAAAACAAAACAAAACGCTGATTTTAAGACTTTAAAAAAATATAATTTGTAGTTCACTATCCTATTCTTAGTAGGTTTGAAGTGCAAATGGTAACAATGTATGTCTAATGAGGAGTAGTCGTGCCTTCGATGCTTACCAATTTTCTAAAATCTATATATGATTTTCTCTGAAACATCTCAGTCTCTCTCTATGAAAACATAGAACAGCCCTAAAGTTAAGTTGCTTTACGATTTCACGTTCTTGATTTCTGAATGTCTAAAGTAAAACAGCGCATTCGTTTATATTTAAATTTAAACACTTTCGGGTTTAAAACGCGATATATATTAGTTAAACTTCTTTGAAATTTTCTTATTTAATTATTGACGTATGTAAACTTTGCAGAGCATCCGAAATGTCGGGCCGATAATTTTCAAATAAGTTTAACTAATATATTTCGCGTTTTAAACCGTTAAATTGATTTTTTTAAAAGTATATTCGTTTCCACGTTAAGGGGATGTGTAAAAATTAACGCCATGCTTGTCCATTCTCTTCAGTTACAAAAAGTGAATTCTTTAAAGACTCATTTACACACATAAATTGTACCGTCGGTCAGAGCAGAGCTGTCTAGAAAATAAATAAGTTCATTCGCTTTGAAGTCGACATCGTTTGTTTAAGCTTTAAGCCAAACGCAAACTCGGACTAATGCTATAAATAAAATATTATTCACATAATTCGCCGTGTGAACGTGATGCTATCTGCGCGGTGGGCTTTTTGCCGCCTTTCTTCCGGCCGTGACACCCCAGTTGTCATCTGTGTTCGCGCTGCATTATAATCGAGAACAATTAATGTAACAATCGATTGCTACATGGGTTGCGATTCGAAAATCATCGATTTTATTTATCGATAGAAATAAATATTTCAATTTTATACATACAAATATACGCAGAGGAGAGAGTTATGTTTTTGTCACTGTTTCGGAAGTCAGCTTCATAAATGAGTGACTAAAATTGGCGCTGAAAAAAATCTGCTGTTGCAGCAACAGCTGAGTGTTAACTGATGTCCTTCTACAGCAAAGTTAGTGTATGCAACAATTGTAAACCATTAATTTTATTTTTTATATAATTGTATAATTTCTGTATGTATATTCTTTGGTGTGGAATAAATTATTTTAATTTGAATTTAAATACTGGATAAACAAGAACTAAAGGAAAATATAACGCCTCTAGTATCACTATATACGTAAATAAATACAAATGTCTATAGCAAATGTTTAACTAAAAGGCACACCATTTAAGTGACCGATGTCGGGTCTTAGTTTAGAAGTTAACTAGTATACTTCGCATTTTCAATTATAAAGCCTTATTTAAGTCTCTCTAAAAATAATCCCAAAGTAGATTTTCTGTTTCTTTATTGTTCTCGAAGCAATTAAACGTAGAGAAAAAAGTCTACGTCACTACAGTAGAGACAGTTAAAGACAACTGGCTATTTCGCACCAGTCGAAACTTCCTTATCGAACTGGAACTTCAAACTGCTCAACTTGTCGTTCAGCTAACTAGATTTAAAGGCTAGTAGATAATAGTTTGTGAAGGAAACGCTAAATATTGTAGAACTATTACGTATTACCTACACTTCACAAAGAAGAATAACGAATTACTAATGAGTCACATTATATTCAACATACTAGCCGTGCCCACGACTTTGTCCGCGTGCCGTCGATCTTGGGAGTTCAACTTATAAGATGGACACATACTGTCGCAGTCACTTTTTTTTGGATCATTAAAGAAAAACCATGCCATACGGAAAATAATATAATAATATAGTTCATCTTTTTGGTTTCTTGAACCGTTTTCACAACGCTCGCAAAGGAAACCCTCGAAGACAAAAAAAAAATAACCAGAAGTTCCTAATATTAGAATTTTCAAAGAGACTCCTCCGCTTTATAATATTAAAATGGCTTATCATTATTTTAAATTTTGAAATGTTTTACGTATAAAATAAGTAAAATCGCAACTAATAAAAGATAAGAAGTAAAATTTACGATATTATCAAGCAAAGAAAGGAGGAAGTAAATTGTATAATTTAAACTCTTGCAAGAATTTAATTTTGGGACATTGGACACTGCGTCCAATTACATTTAAGTTCACCATATCTGCGGCTAAGTTATATCTTCCTTGCGCTGTAGGCATACAAATTGCTTGAATGATATCTCTGGATAAGATGAATTGAGGAGAGATTAGTACGTTTCATTAATTAAAAGGTGAATCCTCAGATGAATAAGGTTTTTGATCCCGTTAATGATAATAATTAATTTAATTATTGGAATAAGGCTTCAAAGCAATTTTCATATTGAAAGGTGTCACAGACGTCAGTCGTGAGCGGTTAATCTTAACAAAATATTAGCTGCAAACTTTGTTTTGTTGTTTGCAAGATTAACATGATTAAGTATTTAGAGTTACTATCTTTAAGATATTGCATTAACTTCAACCAAATTTGGTTACCATAATAACGGTTCTTGGGCATTAAATTTAATAGATAAACATAGAATTAGTATTGTTCTCCGAGCAGAAGAGAAGAGTGAATTCTCGAACAGGCGAGGAGTTGTGATAACGTTACGCATTCAGGAGATTGCCGCAACGGCGGGAAACTCTCGCTCACATCGGCCGAACAGCCCGAAGACAATTAGTATACTACAGTACTGTCGAGCAATGTTAAACTAGAGAAATTCTTTCATAATATGTTGATTTCTTCCCCCCCCAAACCGTTTTCGCAGCGCACGAACAATCTTTTCTAGTTTGAGTTTCTGCTTCTGATGCATGACATATGCTAAAGCACGGAGGTTTATCCAACACAAAAAATCATTCAGGATTTCCTAAGATGCGTATTCAAATACTTAATTTTTATAATAGAATATACAAGAGGAGATTGCAAATGTGGTGTGCGTGTGGTGCAAACATCGAGCCTATTTTATTTAGTAAATACCTCTAATCTATTTGCTTACAAAACCTTAGCCAACGAAATTACGACACAAAACCGGGACAGGACATAGGCCTCTAAAAAATAGTACATTGGATAAACCCTATTGGTTTACTTTGAATCGGTTTTAAAGGGGTCTCGTTCGTTTAATTAGCGCTTTGCTTGCGTTTCCAAAGAACATGAATTGACATGCCTCGCTAACAAGTTAATTTAGTCCCTCTGTTTTCAATAGCAAAGCGAATGCTATTTACACAATAACTACGTCGTGTCTTTTTATTTAGCGTAACTAGTGATCAGTGAAGGTATAACGTAGAGGCAGAGTGGCCTAATAACAAAAACATGATTCTCAATATGGTGGAAAATAAAAATGCGCAATCAACTTAGGCGAAAATGAATGTGTACTATTATTTGAGTAAGAATTATGTTAACGATTTTCGTTCACTGTGCTCTTGTTTAACATTTTTAGATTATGAAAATATAAATAACTCAAGTCATAAAAATTGCAGTTTGGCAATTTTAGGAAGACAGAGAAGCATAGGGTTACTGGGGGAAATACAGCCGTATAACAACTAAATAAGATACGCTTTCGATCTATTTGGGCTTTGGATATCGGGAAATTTGCAGACTGAAACCGAAACGCGATTAAACTCGGCGGCTTTTCCATCTGTGGACAATGGTTCGTGATCCGGACGAAATTTCGATATTCCGACCACCCGTTAAATATCCAGATTTCGAAACAAAGTTTAACATTAAATACTGTCTATAGTTTACGCGAGCAGTACACATTTAAATAAAACACTTTAACGGTTTAAAACGCAATATATTAGTTAAACTTATTTGAAAATTATTTTTAACTTCAGCCCGACGTTTCGGATGCTTTGCAGCAGCCGTGGTCACGGGGAGACTAAAGATGGAGGATGTCTCTGACGTCAAAGTAAAAAATTGTACGCTAGCGCCATCAAAATTTAAAAAAAATTTAACATGTTAAATTAATTAGAAAAACGTCGGACCCGGCGAGTATCGACTCCACGACCCGTTGATTATATACACCACACATTGTCACCATTACAACAACGAGCCTTGTTAAATTTTACTGTTGTTTTGACCAAATTCTATAAATAAACTTGGTGCATATATAAAATCTCAAGCGAAAACTTATTTGACTGGTTTATTAAGATAAATTGTTCTTTGGTGGCCTGACCCAATTTAGTGATAAAACACACGAGATAGGTTCCTACCGAGACTAATGTGTGGATTTATATTTAGTGGATC